AGATGCTAGAGAGACAAAGTCAGGAGATGTGAAAAATTAAAGCAGGATAACGGAAGAAAGGGTTTATTGTGCTTTCTTGCCCACTTTGGAAATTTATATTATGGTTTCTAGCAGACAATATATGAAAGGCTCATTGCCACTGCTTTTGCTTGATTAACGAAGGCTGGTTGCTGTTTCTTTTGCCTGACTATGATTTGTGACTGTGAAACATCACACACAAACATGCTTTAGTTCTTTTCTTCATTTAGATCTTCTCCCCCGGAGGGCTAGTTTGTTTGTCTTCTCCCTCAGTGGTTTGCCACTGACGTGACAAACAGCACTCTATGCGGGAGAAGCACAAGCATTAGAAACACAGAAATTGGAGATGGAAAATTCCACTGTAAAAGATCAACTAGCCCACTGTGCTTGGTAAGCCAAGGCATAAACAATAGCATTGGGTTTATTTAAAATACCACAAGAAGTGCCTCTGAGCAACTTCTTCACCAGGTGATGGATCTTATAGCCAACAGTGCTCATCCTAATATTTGTCATTTCATCCTGTTTTCTTCCTGCTTCAAAAGAATAGTGCTCTCACTTTAGCAAACCTCATTTTTCTATTCTCATGGTGCCTTATCCTATTTCTAAGTTTTGCAGCTTTGCATTTTGTATCTCATGCGCAGCACAACCAGCTGTGTTCAGCTCTTTCAGTTCACCCAGCGTCTCTTAATCAGTACTTACAACTTCTACTTTGTTAAGATGAATTCCTTTATGTTTGCTGACATCTTTCTGATGAGATTTTCAGGACAGAATGCAATATTCTGTTGGGGTATTTGGGAACCGTTAGGTCATGACCTGAACCAGTGATTGAGCAGCTGTTGAAGGGGTGTAGCCAGCCCTGAAAGCACAGGTGCAAACAATTCACTGGTATGACTAGAAGGGTCCACCTGTGCAACTCAGGGTCCAACCCTCCCTACCTCATTTAAGGGCTGGCAGCTGAGAGGGAGACATTTTGACTTGGAGACTGCCTCCTTTAGGAGTTTCCAGTGAGTGCTAACCTTGGGAAGAGGTAAGCCGTTCCTTCTTTATTACCAAATTGTGACCACTATGCTTCTTGGTATTGGGTGATTTAAAGCTGGTTAAAGGCAACTGTATTTTTTGTCTCCTATACTTATGTGAGGCTACACTACAATACCACTGACAGAGGTCTTTGTTGTAGTTCTTGTTCATGAAGTATGTTCTCTGATTGTATTTGCTAATCTGCCCATCTAGACACATCTAACTTACTGTCTGCTGTCCTGTTGTTTTAGGTGCCTTCAGTGTTATAGCTTCTGAGAAGCCTTCTCAATGAGTAGCTCTTGATTTGAATTATTTCTCTCTAAATGTAAAATATGCTCTCCCTGTCCTTGTCGTCGTCCGTCCCCCCCCCCCCACACACACACAATCCCCCAGTGGAATTGCAGTTTCCTGAAACTCATTTGTGCCAAAGCTTTGATTTGTAAAACTAATGAAGCTCTCTCAACCCCGCAACTTAAAGACGTTTTCCCCACTTTTCCCTTCCTGAGCTAGAAATCATGATAGGATTCTTCATTTAAAGAAAAAAAAACTTTTGTGGGAGATGTTTAAGCTTTGTAGCATCTCAAATACACAGCTTTCTCTTTAGGCTGTCAAGAGAGAGGTGAATGAAAATGCTGAACAATTTTTGCAGTGTCTGAGCTAAAATAGGAGGTTACAATTCACAGCTTATTCCCAGTCATCTGCCCCACGCTCTTTAAGTTAACCTCAAGTGTAACTTCTCCCCTAACCCTTTTCTATTAAAACCATTCACTTAAACTGAAGTGTTTGTTTGTTTTTACTCTCTTTCTTTTGCTTATTTGATAAATAGAAAATATCTGATCTCCTAGCAGATGGAAAGGGAAAGATCTTTGGAGAGAATAAGAATAGATTGAAAGATTACAACTACTGAATGTGGTTCAGCTGTAGCTCTCAGCCCCTTGGAAACTAGTGCTAGAATTAGGAATGCTCTTCAGGGATTATGGTTCTCCTCAGTGCCCTGCTAGTCCGTGCTGTGTGTGTTTTGTTGTTTTTCTTTTATTTTTTTCCCCCAAAACTCATTTCTAAGAAGCATATGATGTTGAAGACCTGTCAGATCACACAGACAAAGCAAAGGCTATATGCCAGGGATTCTTCCCATCATTGAGTGCATTATAAAGCAAGCCAATTAAAGGTCACATTTGTTAGTCACAACTTTTGTGGTTTGGCTCTTAGTGAGAGCAGGACGTGTGTGTGCTCAAGGCTGTCTTGCAGTAAAGTGCTGCAGAGAGGATGTGTGGTGTCAAAGCAGAGTGTCAAAAACAAAATAAAGGCTGTAGCTATTTGTCACATATCCGTTCAATATTAGCATTTGTAGCAGCATCTTTGATGTTGTCCATCTGCTTGCTCTTCAGTTCTTTAAGACAATGCTGCAGAATTGTGCAAGGCCAAAGAGACAATTCCTTGCACACAAACAGAACAGCAGTCTGTAGCACTTGTTGGCTCCAATGCTAAGAGCAGACACTTGTGAATTATCACTTGTCTATGGTTTCTAAAGAAAGTTCTGTGCATCCCACGTTCTTCTCTTCCTGGTGATCTCACTAAAGCTAAAAGTAAAAAATAGAGCTGCTGAAGGTCGCTTTCCTCATCCATCAATCTTACAGATAACCCTTCTTGTTAGGTCTTTTCTTAACTGCAACTCTGTCCCACTCAGGTAAGCTTTGGGGCAGAATTTACCTAACTGTAGAAGTTAGGTGTGTTGTTTGAGGCGCCATCTTTTGGAATCAGCTTAGGTGTACAGACTTCTCCAGAGGGCAATTTCTCCTAATGTAACACAGCTGTCTGACCCAGGTGAGATGAATTTGCTCTGAGCATGCCTCCCTCTCCACTAAAGAAGCCTAGACAAAGTATGTTGATTACAAGAGGTTTTGTATGTTCTCATATAGCCAAAGTGTTAGGTAAGATGAAATTCCCCTGGAAGACTTTCATCTTCCTCTTGTGGGCTAATGTTTGTACTTGTCTTGCTTGTCTGCCCTTGCTATGTATTCAGTCTTCCTAGTACCTACACTCTTGCATGACATAACTGGGGCCTTCACTGTGAGTGGTAAGGACTCTCTTCTTTCTGCAGAGCTCCTTCCTAAAGATGCAGTTACAGAGGAACCCACCTTCTTCCCAGCACAGTGGCAGCAAATCTCTTCAGCTCCTTCTTTTGTTTTCTCCCTTAAGAAGTCCAGCCACAAACCAGGATGGTCATAGTAAGTTTGTGTTGTGGGAATGGTGTCTTGAACTTGAGACCAACTGGTCTGGTGAGCAGCTCTCCCCTCCTAAACCTTAGGTTACAGACCTCTGCATGTTTGGGTGTCTGTCTCACACCTGACTCATTCTCCAGTTTTGATTCATAACCATATGAGTTTAAATTTGGGGAAATATACTTGCTCCTGTGTTGTTTTTTGTTGACTTTCTTTTTTATGCTAAGCACAGAACTTGCAGGTTCATGTTATGTTAGAAGCTGAGATCTGCTATATGGTCTGTACTGGTTTGACCTGAATTCTTACACCTCCCAAAACTTTCCTGTTTTTTCTTGCAGTGTTCCTCTCAGAGCACAGCACTGACCAGGTACATCAAGTCACCATTTGCTAACATGTAACCTTTTTTGAATTTTTTACTGGCCCATGAATAACACTTCAAGTGTAATAAACTGCTTGAGCCTTGCTTCTCCAGTTGCATAGCACCTTTAGTTTCTTGGCTAGATTGTGACCCACGGGTTGAAGACCACCACTCAAACTCTGCTTCTGCAGTGTTGTCATTGAGGGATTAGCAAATATTGGCTTGAAAAGCAGATGCAGAACTAGTGGCAATGTATGCTTTCAATTGTTAGATTACCAGGTAACTATTTCAGCACATAAAATCTTAATTTATCAACTGTCATCATATACTTCACCCTTCTGGGACAGGAAGCGTGTTTTTGTGTGTTCATAGTCTGCAAGTTCTAGGTACTGAGGTACTGATTTTGTGTTCTTAAGAGTAAATCCTATTTGTGTTCCCCTAACAGTAAGAATAGGCAGCAGGTAAGGGTTACAGTGCCTCAGTGAGGCTTTGTTTTAAACATCTAGATTCGAAAAAGGAGAAACAGAACCACGTTTGGTGAGTGATGTCCTCTGAGCTCTCTAGGGCCACCTCCAGCACAGCTCAGTGTCAGAGGATCCATCCCAGCATGAGTTGATGTATGAGCACAGCAGTTGCTTTTCTGACATTAGGACCAAACTCAGTTGTAAAATGCTGATTTCTTTTAATAACTAGTGCGTTGGGTTACCAGGCACCAGCAGTCCTGTATGCAATGAATTCCTAGAACTCTCTTAAGTGTGTAGAGAAAATGGCTCTGTTTTAGCAATGTAAATGTCATCTTCCCGTGTTTCAAGGTCTCAGCACCTTCAGTGGAACTTCAAGTAGCTCTCCTCACGTTGGCATGACTGCGTGATAGTACTCATACGTGCGATGTGACTGCAACTCATTGTGGCTTTTTAATCTCTTGAAGGCTTCAGCAGCTTCCTGTCCGATACTTGCAGCAGAAAGTGACAGCTGAACACCGCACGGGGCTGAGGCTGCCGAAGCGTCCTTGAACCGTAAGGTTATCGTAAAACCCGCCCTAGCTTTAAGCGGCACATCCAGCGCACCCCCGCCACGAGTTTATGGGCCGTGAGGAGCAGACCGTGTAACGCGGCGCTAAGGAGGGTTCCGCACACCGGCTCGGGCTGGTGGCAGCTGGGCTGGGGCCGGTAGCAGCTTCAGCATCCCCGGCCCGTCGGGGTCAAGGGTCTCCGGGCCCTTCCAGCGTCCCGTCGTTTGCTTTCTCAAACGGCCGGAGGGATTTACTCCTCCTGACCCACCGAACCGAGGCGGAGTCTGTGCCCGGGGGGAGCGGCGCCCGCAGCCCCCAGGGCGGCTCGGCCCGGCCCGGCCGCCTTTGTCTGCGCTGGGAGGAGCCAACGAAAGGCAGATTGTGTTTTTTTTTTTTTTTTTTAAAAAAAAAAAGGTCTGGCCGAGAGCCAGGAAGTGTGGAATCCTGGCCGGGTGGTGGCAAATTTCGCCAGATCGCGGCCAGAGGCAGCGCGTCCTTCAGCCCGCGGCGGGGCGACGGCGGGAGCGGAGCTGTGCGAGGAGCGGAGCAGCGGCGTTCTCTGCCGACCTCCCCGCAGAGCGGCAGCGGTGAGTGCGAGGGGAAAGCCGGGCCGGGCTGCCGGGTGGGGGGCTCGGCCGCGGGAAGTGGGGCTGGTGCCGGAGGATGTGCCCGGGGCGGCCCGCGGAAGGCACGGGGCTCAGCCCTCGCTCCTCCGAAGCAAAGCTCCGGCATAAATCCCTAGCAAGTTTTCCATTTGAAAATATTAAAAATAGACCCTCCGGTTCCATAGTGCCGCCGAGTGAGTCATTTCCAAACCAAATGTATCCGCTTAACCCTCCCACTGGGGGACACAATAATTCTGAAACCGAGGGTGAAGGGAAGGAGGCTTTTCCCTCCGCTAAACAGACCGAATTAACGCGTAGCTGCTGCGAGGAGAGAAAAAAGCCACAAGCGGCGGGCTGCCTGCTTAAAGCAGCGCGGTGCAGCCCCGTCCCTTTCTCACCTCGCCCTGCGGTGGTACCACCCGCGCTCCCATGCAAGGCGCCGGGAGCCTCGCTGCCCGCTCACAGCCGCGTGGACAAACACCACTGTTTTGTTCCTTTAGCTGTCAGACCCGTCCTCTGTCACCTCTTCGGGACGTCAGCCACAGCCATGGGTCATGCCAGCGGTGACCGATGCTTCTCTTGGCTGCCTATGCTGAGAAGTGCAGTTCAAAACACGGTTATTTTTCTCTGTCTTTCCCGGTCATATGATGATTTGTTCATGCAAGCAGGCTGTCTCGAGCGGAGAGACTTTTTGTTAGCAACAAATGCTGAGCATATTTATAGAGAATGCTGCAATTTTGCATTGTGGAAGGTTTCATTTATGCAGAGCTACCTGGATCTGTGTCTGAGAGCTATTTGCATCTTTTGTATGACGCTGTATATATATGTGTATTCTAAGCATATGTCCATGGCTCTTATTTCACAGTGAGGCAGCATGCCTTAGGTATAGAAGCTGATGTGCAGGCTGTGTTTTTCTTCTAAAGCAGAAGATGCTGTCCTAATGATGTAGATGGACTAGCAGAGACAAGGCCTGCTGAACTGCCTATCTTTACATTAGGAAGCACCTAGCTGGGGGCAAAGTCCTGCCCTTTGACCCCTAGGAAGAACTAAGCTAGCACTCAGCAACAAAAATGACCTATAGCTGAAAATATGTGCTGTAAGTTATGCCAGCTATTTCACAGCCTTGTGAAGGATGTGAGGTTTGAGAGCAAGATCTGTGGTAACGACCCAAACCTAATGCTGTTTCTTGGCAAGTAGAGAACTGTGATGTAAAAGCGCTTGCATTCTCTTTTTGCTGTTTAGATTTAGTTTCTCCTATAATGCTATTTATATATTTTATAGCCGGGGAGGCTATTATGATTTATTGACTTGTCACATAGGGTGCAGGATACTCAGACATTCCTGCAGTCTGTAGTGTTTCTTTTAGCTCTAACATGTAGGAGATTCATCCACTTAAAAGTACCAGTGAAGTACTGGGGGGGGAAAAAAAGTAAATATCAATCTTTCGTGTTCCAGAACACAAGAAAAAGCAGACAGTGTCCCATGAAAATGAAAACTTTGCTGTAACCTAAGACGCATTATGCACACTTCATTGTTAATGTATGGCATTGTTGCTAGGCTTCTAGTGCTGTGGACTTCTATAACATTCTGGAGGAAGAAAAACACTTCAATTTGAGTTCAAAATCAACTGCTTTTTGGTTAAACTTGGAAGAAAATTTTCCAGAGCTCTGTTATTCTGTAGTTGTTTCTGTGGTTATCCTGAATTGCTGACTGACGTGGCTGTCAAGTTGCACTGAGACCTACACCACTGGTTTGCAGTGCTGGAGGTGGACAGGGATGTTCAATCAGACAGTTCCACGTGGGACTATCATTTTCTATGTCATTTTAGCAGCATTGTTTCCTTTTGGTAATTTTACAGCAGACTTCAGGTGACAATTCAGTTGCACATCACATTCATCTTTGGTCTTTAAATTTCTGATTTAGATACTTAAATGAGGTTATCTGTAATTATTTTCTTGCAGTGTGTTTATGGACTGTCTGATATCTGCTCAGCGTCTGATAAGACTTCCAAGATTCTCATTCAAAGCTCATCTGGAATGCAGGTAACATCTACTGACTCCTCAATTCCTTTTGGAAGAGTTTAACTTCCTTGCACTTCTAGTAATGATAGACACAGAATAGGTGTGATAGTTCTCACTTAACCTGAGAAATTAATATAGGTAGCTTCCATTCTTATAGAAGAAATAGAGGCCTGAGCCTTGAAGAGATCGTTGAAAGCTTGAAAGTAGCAAAAAAGTAAGCACTAAAAGTGTATCTTTTATACTCAATGTATTCTGTTTTCTTATGTTACTTTTCCAGGCCTCTGTTGATTTTTTTTTTGTTTGTTTTGTTTTTTTTGTTTTGTTTTGTTTCCCTTGCACATAATGTATGGCCTTTTGTCCTCACTGTTTCTGCTGGTGTGAATTCAAGCATGAATATACATTGATTGAGTATATGCTGGACTCCAGAGCTTATTCAGTAGGGCATAACAACCTGTTCTTCCATTAGATAGAGCTAAGTGTAACTCAGAGGGTGGAAGATTGTGCTGAAGACTTCAGCAAACACCCTGTGATACCAGAGGTGACTGAGGCTAGGCTACAGTGTAAATCAGGCTGCTCAACTGCTGTGTTCTGTAGCCCTAGTGTTAAAAACAGGGAGTGTATTTCTGTTTTTAATAATAACAATGGGAAATGTGAAAGGAGGGAGAAAAAGGAATATATATGAAGTGCAAGAAAACAAAGATGATAGATTGCCATTCTGCTTGCAGCGTAAGTAGTTTCTAAAAGCATTGCAGTTGTGACATTTATTTGGTCTTGAAGTTTATCTTGTCAGTATTCTGATTAACATTACTAGAAAAGTAGAAATGTCATTATGGTCAGATTGATACAAATTGTTGTTTCTGAATCTTTGTTCTACTTCCCCGTCCTTTTTTTTTTTTGTTTTTTGTTTTTTGTTTTAATGGATGACCTTCATCCTGTGCGTTTAAGAAAGCGTTACTGTGGTTCTCCTTTATCTGTCCTCCTCTAGTAACTGTAAGAATTAGTTAATTTCACTGCACTTGACCAAGGAAGAAAAAGACAGGATAAATTTTCTCTAAGCTTTTTTTTATAGCTTGTGCTGGAAGAAGGGCTCTGGAGGGAGTTATCCCCTCCTGCACATGTGAAACCCAGAGGGAGCACTTTAGTTCTGCTGCTCATGTAACTACTGCATATGAACAGTTTATTTGTTGAGCAGCTATGGTTTGTTTTTTTTTTTTTTTTATTTTTCCCACGCAGCTTTTCCACATGCTAAGCACAAGTCCTATGATCCCTGCAGACTGCTTGATGTAATTTGTAACTTCTTTTGAAAGAGTTAACACAAGTGTTTCCTGAATTTTGTAGCAGATGCTACTGGGGAGCTATTGGAAACAGGTTGAAGCGCTAAGAGTTTAGTTCGTGTGTTTGAAAACACATTTGTCATTTCAACCTTAAAGCCTTTTGTACAGCAAAAAGTCCAATAGCTTACTCATACTGTTGTCATTCAAGTGCTATATTCTTGGCTTGCTTTGCTCCAGGAGGGGTGCCCTGACGGGTGCATCTGCTAGATGCAATTCCAAACAGTGGAAGGAAATAATTATTTATGTTGTCTTTTTTTTTTTTTTTTTTTTCTGGTGTAAAATATTCTTGTGCTGGGGATTGTTCTGGTGAAACTGTGCTCATTAAAAGGCATTTTTGTAGTCAACAGAGTTTAAGGCTTGAAGACATCAAAATGAAGTAGGCCAAAACTGACGGGCAGCTTTAGGCTCTGAGCTCCTTGGAGTGTTATTTTGCTGTTAAATCAGTTATTTCTCTTTTTTTTATTGTAAGAGCTTTAGGTGTTTTTTGTGCACTTGTATATAATCTTGATCTCTTTGGCTTGCTCTGTGTCAGTGCTGTTTTCATACTTTGTTCTATAGGGAATTGTATTTGTGTTTGTACAGGTCTTCTAACATGCCATGAACTGCAGAAGGTGGTGGTCTTTGAATTACAGAGAAACATCCCATGCCAGGATGGGATATAAGCAAAGGTGCTTTTTTTCCCCTCCCAGTTTGACTACAGTTTCACTTTGAGTTTCAGGTTTACTTTAACCTCAAGAACTCAAAGCACAACTAAGTGGAAACCTCTGAATTTCTTTTCAATTCCTATGTGGCTCTGCTACTAATGCCTGGTTAGAGAGATCCCAAACAAATTCATGAACAGAAGGATATATAATGAGTAAAGGAAAGGTGTAGGTCCAGTGAGGGGAAGAGAATATGCAGAAGGAGTTCAGTGTATGGATATAACATAGGGAAAGTGAGATCTTGTTTTGGGTAGCTGAAGACTAGAGCTATAATTATCAGACATGAGTACATACCAGAGGATTGACACAGTATTGGGAAGGGCTCTATTCCCATATTCTGTAGTGGCTTTTTTTTTTTCTTTTTTTTTTCTAACATGCTTCATTTCCATAGTTAACATCAAGTTTAATTAGGGATAGGTGGTGGCTGAACACTTCTGGATTCATAGAGGCCACAAAGTTTGTGCCTTCATAGTGGATGGCCTGGCAAAATAATGATAATAAAAAGAAGTTGACATCTTTTGGTTTTGAGCTACCTTTTAAAAAGAAGAGGTAGCTCAGATGGCTCCTCATTCTTTACAACGGGATGGAATTCTTTGAAAAGCTTTAAAGGAGCTTAGAGGCATTTTTATTTCACTTTATTTTGGTGAGTAGGTTCCTGGCTTGGGAGGTGGAAGACCTGGATGACTCATTTTGCTGGCTTTCAGCTTCATTTCCTCAGCCAGAAAATGGAGATAATGATTTTCACTCTCCTTATTAATAATCCTCCTAGAGATCTTTTTTGAAAAGAGCGTTTTGCAGGGCTGAGCAGCCCATCCACCTGGGGTTGAACGTGCGTGGTCTGCCTTGGGGTTTTCCCATACTGTGGGGTGGGTGGGCTGGAGGTATGGGGCAGGCAGGCATCCCTTTAATATTTGGCATTGCATGCACTGGAGCCAGCCAGGGACTGGCAGGAGGGCGTGTGGTGGGGCTGCAGGTAGTGTGCTTTAGCTGGCTGAAGTCCTGTGTTTGCCAGCTGGCATGGAGAGTGCGCTGAGAGCCTGAGGAATCAACTTGTTTTCCTCTGTGCGGGACAGCCTGGTAAGGTGCTGGTGGAGCATGTTCCTTCCTCCTGCTTGGATCCTATTCCTGAACTGGGTATGGTCTGCAATCCTGGATTGTAGCTTAAACAGAGTTTGTGGGGTTTTTTTTGTGGTTTTGTTTTTTTTTTTTTTTTTTAATAACAATGTTCTGAGTTGATTTTAGTCACTGGGATTTCAGAGGCAAGTGGCATTAATATACAGGTAGGGCAAAAAAAAAAAAAAAAGCTGTTTCCTGAAGGCTGTAACTTGAATCAATCTTAATGATGAGATTGCCAGACCAAAATACTGACCTTACACCATTCCATTTATCTTTCTGACTTGGGGCAGTTTCTTAGAAAGGACTGTGCCCCTGCTAGTAGCATAAGCACATCAGAAGGTGTTTTGCTCCTTGTGTGAGGGGCTGCTCCTGTGACAAAGTATCTGTACTTTGTCTTGCTGGTTGATTGATCCAGAATGTGAAGGCCAATGTTTAGGCTCTTATTGCTCTTGATGGGCCATGTGTTGGAAATTTGACTCATGATAATTTTAGTTTCTGAAGTTGAGAAGGAATGGAAGGATGAGGGGTATAGGAGGGACTATGCCTTGAGATTGGGCCCCAGCCTGCCCTCAAACTATTGTGGAAACTTGTGATTTCAGCAACTCCACTGTATGTAAGATATGGCTTCTGATCATGCTATCCGGAAAGGAAATATTTTTAGCTATGGAATAATTAATGCACTTTTTGTTAAGCTTATGCTTGTTTTGCACCCAAAATCATTACAAAAAATTCTGTTACGTGATGCAGTATCCAAACTCGTAGGTCATCAATGTCACAGTTGCACAGAGCATACAAAGGAGTAGAAAATGGGCAAACATATATCTTTCTTCATGAAGACACTAATTTTCTACTACTAAAAATGTTCGTATGGCAAGATATCTCTTTATATCTGGATAATCCCTCATTCTTTGTTGTAGTATTCCCCGGATCTCCTGAAATACTTACTTGAATGAATGGAGCCTCATGTGGTTCCCCCCTTCCCTGCATTACCATCTGGTTTGAAGTTGCTTTTTGACTTGTGGTTTTTTGTTGTGAATGTAAAGTAGCACCACTGCATGTTACCCTCTAAAAAGCAAAAGCAGCTGTAGTTTTTGGTGCTGTAGTGTTTGGTTGGTTCAGGGTTACTGAGAAGATCCCTAGTTTAGAAGGAATGCTGCCATCATTTTCTATAGGTTATTCTCTTTCCCAGAGACAGAGCTAGGTGTATTGCCAGATCTTTATATTTTTTTTTTCCAGACAGTCACAGGTACTTTGGTCTGTTAGAAGGAAAAAGTCTTTTCATTAAATCACCTTATAAGAGCTTCTCTGTTATTTTCATGGCTAATAGAAAACAAATGGATAAAAATTCCTAGTTTGACAGTAATGTTTTCATGTCTGTATCTACAAGTGTTTGCTGGAAAAAGATGTGTCCTTGTTTAATTCTTCTGTTGAAAGATTCAAGTTGATCTATAAAGTGCTCACTCAGATGTGATTAATTAGAAGTGGATAAAACTACATTGTTGTCAGATTGACTCACTGTCCAGCTCAGCATCCCTCTCCCCCAAGTTTTGAGCCCTATCATCTAGCTTTCAGTTATTTGCTCATTTAAAGACCTGAGTTTTAAGACACAGGTAATGTCTGTCTTGTTTGAGATCTAGAAGACTTTAATAGCTAGACTTTGATGTGATAATCACAGGTAAATGGGAGGGGGAAAAAATATCAAGAAAAGAGGAGTAAGAACAATAAAAGCATCTCTCCTTGACTTTAAACAAGTTTGCCAAAAAGAGAAATGCAGGGTCATTAGATGAGAGAAGAGTGGGGAATCCTCTATAATCGGGCAAACAACTTGAAATTCTGTTGCCTCCTCAAGTGTTGCCCCAGTGGTTGGAGCACGTGGCAGTGGGAGATTACGTTGTTGTGGCACCATCTCCTGTGCTGGAGCTGAGTTTTAGCATCCAGCTTTTCATCCCTTTTTATGATCAATGGTAAGAGAGGATATGGCTTGGTGGCTGCAACCACTGTCATCCTCCTGCCTTTCTTCTCTCCGTGATTGTTAAATAATAGGATTGTAATCTTTAGATGTAGGCTTTATTTCGTAGTCTTATGAAGCAATTTAATCTTGGGTAGAGGAGATGTGAAGGAGTTTGGACTGAAGGCCTCTGAGGGAAGAATATCTGTGTAAATCTGTAAGAGTTTTCAGTGCAAACTAGAGAGGAAAACTGTTCACTGCTTTGCGTTATGCTGTTCGTTCTCACTAGCTGAAATAGCCCCAAAACCGTGAGGGTTTCTGATTAACCTGTAGTAATACCTCCCTTGGTACAAGGATAGTTTCTCTCAGAAAAAAGGAAAAAAAAAAAAAAAAAAAAAATGCAGACTACTGAATGTGTAACATGGACATTACCAGCAAACTGCTAAAGGAGCTCTCCTGCAGAAACAAAGCAGTGTTTACCAGGGGGTTGTCTTGGTAAAACTTTCAGTGGAAACTGCTTACTGAGAAAGGAAAATCTGATCTGAAGGAGTTGTGGAGATGGAATACTTCTGTAGCTAATGCAGAACAATTATGTAAGGCTGGGTTCTGGTTTGGGGGCTTTGTTTTATGTCCTGATGCATGGGATCTGCAAAATGCAAATGCACTGTGCCAGAAGTCTGTTTTCCAGCACGTGCTCTCTTACCTCTGGCTTTATAAATCTCTGAAAATAGTTTAAGTAGGCTATGGGTGGGGATGGTTATTCTCACAGACCTTGGCGTTTCGGTTCTGATAACATGCTAATTAGCTATACTTGATGTTCTTCTGGTGACTAGCTTGTGCTGAGAGCAAGCTTACTATGACTGCTGTCTAATGGCTACCATTTCAGGTAAACTAGGAGAGAGTGCTTTCTCTGAATCCTAAGCAAAATTAAGGCTCTGGATTTGACCAAAAGCTGAAGATCTTTTCTTTAAATTGGTGAAAAAGTAAAATAAACTTGTCTTAATACTGAAATGGGATCACAGACTATGGGACTGGAGAAAAAAGTGGGGAAGAAGGTCATCTTAAATGCTCATCACAGATAAGTGCTTGTTGTTGTCTGTCTGAGTAACTTTAGCAAGGGTTAAGGGAAACAGTGTATATGTTTCCATGAGCAGAAGCAAATATGTTCCCTTGGTAAGAAGGAAGCATTCAGGAAATTTGTCGTGGGGCCCTGTGTTCTGCTGCTGTGGAATCAGGCTCGTAAACCCAAAGACCAAGTCTGGGAGAGACCTTTGTGATGGTCTGTTTTACCTTTGTGCAAAAGGATTTCCTGCACAATTTAAATATCTGTATATTAAGTTACAAAATTTGTTCCCCTTACATTTCTGAATTTAAACTTTCCCCTTGCAACTTAACCCAAGTTAATACAAATAGAGCTTTTATAGTAGACTTTTATTGCTGGAGGTAAAGTACTGTGTGTGGTTACACTGTTTGGAGTACTGGATTGAAGGTTAGCACAGGCATCTTAACCACTTTCTAGCCCAGTTAAGAGTCTACGTCTGATCTTAAAATAACATTATATAGTTCTGAAGAATCTGTTCCCTTCCCTGTACAAAAACTGTTGAAATAGTAGTTTATGCTGGATAAAGTCATCTGTCACTCATTCAGCTCATCTAGCTGTCAGCTTTGGGACTTCATGATAGCAAATGTTGGCACAATTATTTGTTTTGCTACAGAAATATCTGTTATGCTGACTGCCTCCCAGACACCTCTCTGTGTCATGAGTGTAATCTGCCCTCACCTCTCCAAGGTGCTGCAGTTTTTCTCCTCTGACAGTTTCTGAGGTGGCTGGAATTGCCAATGGAGCAACTACTAGCAGATTGGGTGGTGAAGCTGATGAGGGGTCTGGAGCACAGGCCTTATGAGGAGTGGCTGAGGTAGCTGGGATCTTTTCCTCTGAAGAAGAGGCTCAAGAGTGATCTTATTTCTCAACAGTTATCTGAAGGGAGGTTGTGGCAGTGTGGGAGTCGGCCTTTTCCCAACTTAACTGGGGGTTGGTCTAGAGGTAGTGGCCTCATGTTGTGCCAGAGGAGACTCGGGTTGGATGTTAGGAAATAGTTCTCCCCGAGTGGTCAGACACTGGGATGGGCTGCCCAGGGAAGTGGTGGAGTTGCTGTTCCTGAAGGTGTTCAAGAAGCATTTAGATGTTGTACTGAGGGACATGGTTTAGTGGGAGATAGTGGTGATAGGTGGATGACCTCCTAGATCATTATTTTTCAACCTTGGTGATTCTATGTGAGCAATGGAAGAAGAAAAAAAAAAAAAAAAAAAAAAAAACCAAAAAAAAAACCAAACAAAAAAAAACCAGAATACTGTTTCAAAAGGCAAACAGAAGACAGTGTGATTTGGTTCTATTTTTTGTATTTATTCTTTATTTGTAAATGTTATAGTAGTGTTTTTTCTAATGGGAGCAGAGCAGCCACTCAACCTGCAGCTTGCTGTCCTTTCTGGTAACACCTATTAGGGCTCAGTTTTCTTCATGGAAGTCTGTCTGGCCTTTGTCATCTCTAGAGACAGTCAAGAGTTGTCTGAAGATCTATCCAAACTGCATTCAGCTTGTGGGGGGATAATAGGTGTATTTATTTGTTGAATAGTAATGATAGTTTTACATGTTTTGTGTCCTGTAATCAAGGTGTTTGCTCTGTATTTTTCCCCTGTAACACCATTGGTGGTGGGGCCTTCGTGTTTGCAACAGGGCTGAGGGCTTGCTTAGGCCTCCTTGGCTGATTGGAACAAGGCAAGGAGGAGGCAGGTGATGAGCTCAGAGTGAAGCAGGGCTGCCTAGGTTGCAAGAGACCTGTTTTTTCACATGAATAAAATCATGTAATCATAAAATGATTAGCTAAGGTTTGCAGAGTGTGAAGAATTTCCTGGAGCTGAGCACTATCTAAATTAGAAGCACCATGCAAATACGAAGTATACCTCTAGCTGATCATATCTTTTTTTACTTCATGCTGCAGATGTTGTGGAAAAGAGAAGGCTTTGCTTTACATCTTCTGTGTGTGGTTTGGTTATACAACTATTTTTTTTTCCCATCTCTTTCTCTGACATCTCTGTTCTTCAAACTGCCAACTGAATCTGCTGCTTGTACTTGTCTGAAGTGGGAAGATTTTGAAGTGCAGCAGCTTTGCCAGAGGTTTTTTTGTGGTTTTTATCCAAGTTGATTCTAACTTACTCTGTTTCTGTGGTTTGTTTTGGGCTGCATATTCATCTATGTGGCGATGATGATCAGAAGGGAAAGTACGAGAATTTTGTATTCAGACAGCAATTGGTTGTCTATAAAACAAAAAGTAACCAACCCAAACAGTCCTGCTCACTCTCAAAATATGTGGCTGTCAGAGCTCTTCTGCAGAAGCTCCTTATGGTATCTATCTGTAATGAGCTGATATTGAGTTTTATTCTCTTGCATAATGCTTCTGGGAGAAGCAAAGGGTTTGTCTGATCATCTTTTGATCATATTTTGCCCCTTTTTTCTTCTGGTGAAATGTTTATCTTATTTTATATTAGGTGAATGGCAGCTCTATTTAAAGGTATTTGTAAAGTATCTCTGGGAATGGTTTGGGCACCTCTGTTCTTGCATTTCTATTAACTGAAATGGGAAGAGAAACCACTCTTGTTTTTCTGGCTGGCTGTGTTGAGTCATTCTTTAATGGGAAAAGGCTGCTGCTGTTGAAGAGCTCCTGAAGATTTACCCAAGTTTGCTCTTAGTGTGATAGGCTATTTTCACTCCTCCCCTTCCTCTTCATTTTTCAGGACTGCTTCAATTTCTTTATCTTATTACGAGTCTGTATCACAGCCTAATGTGGTGGGGAACTGCTAGTCTGAGGTTAACTGTTCACTTTGATTGCAGGCTGAGTCCTCGGGTTTGAAGTCTTGTTGATGCCAGTGGAATTGATACCAGGGCCTTCAAGAGAAAAGACTTTCTGATAAACCCACTCCATTCAAGCCTATGACTGGGGGTTTCACCATATCACCATCCTTTGCTCTCCAGTTGCACAAGATGGGTTCATTCAGAAGGCCCCGACCTCGCTTCATGAGCTCTCCAGTGCTCAGTGACCTGCCACGTTTCCAGGCAGCTCGGCAGGCTCTGCAGCTCAGCTCCAACTCAGCGTGGAACAGGTGAGCAGCATCTACAGTGTGAGACTGATCTTTATACTACTGTGTATCACGCTATTTATGGCTAAGCTTGATTATTTATAAGCCTGAATGAGTTTTTAGCATGCCTGAGGTTTGCAGACATTCAAAGTCTCTGTGGAGGTGGCAATCAGACTTAGTTTTTGGCCAGCCTCTTTTTTAGCCAATGTTTTTTCAGAGATACAGTCTTGAAAGTAAGACAAAACTGCACTATATTAACAGATCCACTTTTTTCAGTATGTTTTAGGAAAGCTATTAGGGCAACAAAGGTCAGTTTCTTAATGCACAGCAGGAATTTATTTGCATATTATGAATCTTTTATCAGAAGAACTCAACTGTAGTAATTACTAAGCTTGTGGCTTCTACCAGAGTTTCATACTGCAGTCAAATCCTGTCTGCAGCACATATCATGCAGCAATGACCACTGGAAAAATGATGTGTAGGTAAAGTGTGAGATGGTCTGCTGCTACTGAAGTCAGGTGTTCCCACCTTTCTGTCTGCCATCTTGCACCATCTTTGTGCTCTGCAGACTCCTTTCTCTTGCTGAACTAGTTCTGCTTACTAATGTCACACAAACGTAGCCCAGCAAAAGCATCGTTGTTTTGTACTAGGATAGAAACCTGAGGTTACTGAAGTGTATGAGTGCCAAACTTGTTTGCAGAAGAGAACTTCTATTAAGCAAATAGCATCTCCTCGTGTTGGCTGTGGCAAGCTTTTGCAGCTGCTAAATCATCCTGTCACTTCAGGACTTCCTCTGTGCCAAAAAAGAAAAGTATATTGGAAAAGTATGAGAGTATCTGTGGCTGTTGCTATGCCTTACATGCATTAACAAGGCTTGAAGATGGGCCTGACTGATGCTGCCTGCTGAAGGTCTTTAGTGCAGCCAGAGTCCTACCAGATGCTGCCAGCTGGGTGGCTCAGCTGGTCCTGTCAGGATCTCTGGATAATGCAATGTGATGCGTTTGGTAGACACTGACAAAAGTTTGTGTCTCCTCATAGCTCATAGCCTGCAGCACACATCAGAGATCCCACAACCAGTTTTTTTTAAAGATACATCTCCTGTGAATGTCGTGTTTGTGAATGGTGTCCCGGTGATGACTTTCCTTGCTTACTCTGAGTGCAGTGATTTTGAGGGATGAAAAGTGTAAGCATTTAAGTGCAACTAACCTTTCCCACACCTTTTTAGCCATTCAGCTTTTGGTGGCTATCTCACGTTGCATTCTGTTTAAATCATACTGGTGGCTGTTACTTATGGATGTTGTACCATCTCATTTCTTTTTTGACAGTGTTCAAACAGCAGTGATAAATGTGTTTAAAGGGGGAGGCTTGCAGAACAATGAACTCTATACCCTCAATGAAGCTATCAGGTAAGTTGTTGAAGTGCATGGAGAAGGGATTTTTGTTGCTGCCTGTTTGGGGTTTCCTCATTTTTGCTCCTAAGCAGAAATGTAGTGAGAGGAGATCGATGTGAGAGAGAACTTTAACATGTATTTTGAATTTCAGGTTGGCTTCCTACCTTTTTTCTTTTTTTTTTTCTTTTTTTTTGCTATGGGGTGATGTGAAGAGCACTGGGCTTTTAGATAATGTTTAATTAACTTATGTGGTGCTTTGACAAATTGAGGATATTTATTGAGTTAGAATAAAAGGATTTTGTCCTCTTCCATGGAATTTTCCTCTTAGGCCTGTTTCCCTCCCCCCATTTATTTAAGGACATTCATAACAGTAGTAATGTTTTCTGTCACTGTTTTTCTCTAAAATCAAGCTTCTCAGAACCACGGAGCATTTAAACAAAAAGAAATTTAAAATACAGTATTTCATGTATGTACATTCTATAGCGATTTCAGAAAGAGACCAGAAAATACTAACTCTGAAAATTAAAAACCTGGAAGTTTAACGGTGATGATAAAAGTATCATTTTTTATTTTAAACAAGCCTCATGGTTATCTGTGGTTTTGGTCTGATTACTTGGAAACTTCAGTTAATGATAGGCAGGATTATAGAGCAGATACAGAGCAGTTTATTCTTGTTGATTCCAAGTGGTGCTAAGAGGAATATTGACAGTTCACAATTGTAGTTCCTTATTCCTCCTCTTTCTCACTACATCCATATTCATCCATCATGAATGTTGTTGTATAGGTCTCAACTTCCACATTTGTATGCTTACCTCATCCCTATTGTGTTTTTGCTATATGCCAAATTAAGTGGTTGCTAGAGCCAAGAACATACTGAGCAGCAATCTACCCTTTTCCCTACTGTCAAAGTAAATGCAGGACATGAGTCTCTGTCCTACTTGATCTGGTCCCAAAGTAAAAGCTTCATAAAGTTATGTCTTATGCTTTAATGTTATTTAAATGTGCCTAAGGCAGAAATCCTCAAGTTATATTCAAGTACTTGCAGCAGTATTAATTCTCCATGGGATGAGGATTTCTGTATGTGAAAGGGAAAAACAAATGTCGTAAGCCTTTGGAAACACCCTAACCCACAGCCTGTAGCATACTTGAAGACTAGTTTTGGGTTCTGTGACTTGTCTCCTAGGCTGCTGCTCACTGCAGTGGCTTCAGCCTGCCTTCCTGAATTGGTGCAAGCAGGAACTCCTTCCCAGCTTCATGGGGTGGAGGTACTCTGGAGAGAATAGCCCCTTTGGGTGGGCTTGGCCCCTGTGGCTGGACTGTGCTCTGGTAGTGTCAGTTACCAGAGTCAGTCTGGACTGTCAAGAGCTAGATGTAGAACAAGAAATTCTTTGTGAAATATGTATGCTTAGTGTACAAAGTGGAGATGGTGGGAGGGGAAGTCAGCTTTTCCACTCGCAGGCAGCACTTGGAAGCTCTCTCTTTGAAATTAATGTTCCTACATGTGCCTGAGCATTGATCACATCTCAGAATGTCATTTTCTGAATAGGCTGTTTTAACATTCAAGCAGCTCATCAAATCAGCCTAAGGAGCAAAAGTCATGCAAGTGCATGCGTGTTTGCATATGCGTCTGCAGCTATGCAGCTGTGATTCTTGATATAGCTCTCAACTAAATGTCAGTGCAGTGTATATGAGGTTTCAGACAGCCAAGTCTTTTGTGCCATTAGATTGAGCTGGTGCATCTTCATCCTTTGCATTTCTTCACTCAGATAATCAGTGGAAGTTAGCAAATGCAGTGTTCTAATAGCTACAGGCTCTGCGCAGTGCTTAAGTTTGACGGTGGGAGAAGAGGGAAGTTTTAAAGTTGGGCAGTAATGACAGAGCTAGGAGATGAGTGACAGGTAACATCTTGCTCTGTATTGCTCTCACCAAGTCTCTCTCTTGCTGTGATTTGATAACATCTCGCTGGATAGTTTTTTTAATTGCTCTGAAAGCTGTCATGGCAAGAGGAAACATCAGAAATGCCATTGAGAGATGGAACATAGGACACAAGGAGTGACCTGGTTATAGTTAGGAGGAGAACCATGAGGTTCTCTTTGGAGTGCATGCTTTGCTTTGCAGAGGTGGATGGGATAGTCCACTTGAGAGAGCAAGTGTTCTGCTAGGGCTGGCAAATTAGCTGATCAAAAGCCCACGGGGTTCTACTGAAGCCAGTAGAAGAGCATCTCGCACACCAGCCCTTAAAGACTTATCTGCTCTCTCCATCTTGCAGAAATAGAAATGTTCTTTGAGATGGGTGGGGTGAATGTAACTCATCTGAAAAGATGTAAAGGTGCTTCTGTGTTTTCTGAATAAACATGTAAGTTTTGAAGAATGCTTGGTGAGGAAGATTGCAGTCAAGAACCTATGTTCACCAAAGAGTAGAAAAAGAGCTGTAGTTTGTTAGTAAGAATCTAGCCTGAGAACTAGGTGTCCCAGATGCTATTTTTTGAGCACTCTTGGTAATACTTCACTTTGTTGAAAAGCAAAACTCTTAAACCAGCAAAAAAAAAAAAAAAAAAAAAAAGCAGTGTTTTGCAGTAGGAAGCATTGGGCACCTTTTAAATCTTAGGTGGAATTTATTGCTGCAAAATTTACCATCATAGTTACTGAAAGCTGAAAGTTCACATGCTCTAAACTGTGATCTGTTTTTGTGATGTTGCTTCTGATTTAAAACAATCGTTTTTTATCTTGGTATTTTGAATCATAAATTTGTATATTGGGATTTATCATAACCAGATTTAAAAAGCCATAAGTCTTTTATCAGAAGTATTTGTTGAGTTGCTTCTGCTTGCACAAATGTAAACAACATCTTACTAAACTTCTAGAAATGTTTTCTTGAAAATTATGCTTTGTTTTCTGGTTTTTGGTTTTTATGCGGCAGCCATGGGGAAGCCACAGCTGCTGCTTGCATGTTTACCTCATAGCTTCTCTCCTTATCCTCCCACCTTCTGCTTCCAAGAGAAAAGGAAGTACTACAGTAGGGGGAAATGCTATTTTCAATGCAGTGGAAGGTGACTTTCCTTAAAGAAATATCAGAAAAAAGATGAACTTAAAACTAAATAAAAACTTTGAAAGTATTTTCCAGCTGCTTATGCATTCAGGGATGTGAATGTGGTTTGTCTGTTTATTCCAGGTGAGTGGCTTATAAACAGATGGTTTCAAGGAAACTTTCATCGTAACTTTATAATTGTTAGTTTTTGTAGGCATTGGTAGAATATATACTTAAATGTAAAAGAAATCTAATTGCCAAAAGGGCACATTCATATACATTCAGGTATCTTTGGTATGACTGGTAGTAAAGTGTGAATCTTCTTGAAAGAAATAATCAGCAATAGCTGTTACTTCATGGATGCGTTCCTTCTGTCTACAGACGGCTGCTGAAGAGTGAACTGGGATCCTTCATCACTGATTACTTTCAGGTATTATGTGATTTACTTGCTTCTTGAGATTTGGTCTGTTTAGCTTTTTAGCATATAGGAAACCTTTTTACAAGCATGTAACCTACAAATTTCATTTTTATTTTTCTTATGAAAGATCATGGAGATATGGACCACATTAAAAAAATACCCTATAGCCCCAAAAGTAACTACTTATGGGCATATGTGCTAAACTAGGGGTAATCTTCCTTTGCACTTAAGAAGGGCTACTAGCAGCCTGCCAAAAATCAAGGGATTCACTTGAACTTCGTAAAAAGATGGGATACCATTTTTCTTTTTTGCTTATTTCACTGATATTGAGGATTCTGGACTAGGTTTTCTGAAACAAGGACTAGCAAAGGGGAAGAGAAAATACTAAAAGCTTTCTGTTTTGGGGGGTGCAGATAAGGAAGTCCTTATCAGCAGGAAATCGACCTGGTTACTGTTTGCCTTCTAGAATATAGATGCAATCTGTAGAAAAGCAAAAGGTGAAGGATTAGGGAAGATGCAATCAATCAAAGATCTGTTATTGCTTCTCACTGATGTTGTCCAGATAGACCGAGGTTCACATGCAGCCACATGAAAGCATGTGTAAGATTTTGAGAGAACACCAATGGCTTTCAGTATTGCAAATTTTTCAGTATAGTGCTGATTTTAAAAAGGAGGTTGCTGAAAGCGATAGATTGTTGTTGTTGGTTTTATTCCTTCTGAGTAAGAGAGAGAATTTCAGTACTTTCTGAAGTGGCTGATGCTGCTATGTGCTATGCCAACTGTTTTAAAGGGGGAAGGTGAGAAGTGTTGTTTCCTATCACTATTAGGTTACTTGACTTAAAAAAGAAAAAAAAAATCCCCACTGTACTATCAAATGAGAAGCAAACTCTGCCCTGGTGGTAGTTGTTTCACTTCTTCAGCCCCTATCTGTACAGCTTTCTTACTGGAAGGAAGCAGTTGCTGGTGGAAAGCGGTGGGATGTTTCCTTGAAGGGGAGCACAGCAGAAGGAGGGGGTGAAGCTGTAGTACAAACCCATAGAGCTCCTGGAAATCTGTTGCTATCCTAGATAACTTGAAAACAGGCAGTCAAAACTTTGCAACTAAATATATGCAAAAAACTAAACTTTGTCAAAGCTTCATCAAGAGCCCACATTCTGTGGTGTTGGGCATGGCACAGTGGTCTGGAAAAAAGTAGAGAAATTCCAGAGGCAGCTTCATGCCTCTGTAAGGCTGAGCAGAGCACTGAGCCATGCGTGACTCTGAGGGATGCGGGGTGCTGACGCACAGCTGTTATCTGGCTTTGAAGATTCAGTGTGCGCTGGGGAAGGCCTGGGTGGCTTCCAGTGCTGAACAAGATGCAGCTGTATTGTGTCACTGCACGGGACAGGCCCAAGAAGCCTGGGGGCAATGCTGATGCTAGGGTTTGGGTGTGTTGGTCTCTTCCTCTAGGTTATAGATCTCTTGCCTGTTGTGATTATACCAGAGCCAGTAGTGTTAGCTGCTGCTCCTTAGCTCTCCTAGTTGCAGAGATAAGGATAAAAGACATGGATTGTGTTATGATCTGCTCGCTACTGGGGCTGTCAGCTTGACTTGCATTGTGTTTCTGTTGGCAAGCAGAGGACATCTGACCCCTTCTTGGGAGAGGGAACTGAGCATCAGCACTGCTTCCCTTAAAAGCAGATGGGAGAATGTGCTCTTTCGCCCTGATGGCAGGGCTGTATTACTTCATCTGAAGGTTGCAATCACAATGTATGTACTCAGCACTACTGTGGCCTTTGCCTCAGAGAGCTTGCAGTTCAAGGGTTAGACTGCAGTCTCTTCTGAATTTGTTTTTCTGTATGCTTGCACTTATATGAATATCTCAGTGTATATGCAGTAGTTCAGCTGATGTTCTCTCACTGAATCCTGGCACTGAAATTTATTTTTTTGGGGGGAGGGGATTTTTTTTCAATTTTAAAAGAAGAAACTGATATCCATCAGACTTAGCCTGAAGCAAAACTCTCAGTGATGGCAAGCCATGAGGCAAGCACTGTGAGATAAGGGCAGTTGTAGGAAATGATCTCTTTTCCCTGCTGCGAGTTAAGATGCATATTTCTGGTTTTAGACTGACAGTGTGTACCAGTGGTAAATGTTGCTGTTCTCTCTGAATGTCTTTACTCAAAAATCCCAGGGCCATGGAATGGGGAAAATCTGTTCATGTGACAGAAAAAGGCTGACAAAATTTTTTCTGTGGATTCAGTTTCACTGTTGATGCCAACTTAAAGCTATGTTTCTCCACTAAATGACTTGGCTGAAAAGGAAAAGGGGGAAAAAAAAGATTTAAAATCTACAGTTAGGTTGACTGCCTCATCGGTCGTGCGTTCATCCTCTATAACAAGAGGGTGGTGATGGGAGCACATCCTCAGGATGAGGAGGGGAGTAGGAACGCTTATTTTGGCACAGGCTCTTTCTGCATCCCCTGAAGCCATTTTGAGAAGTTATCCTGAGAACTGTGTTTACTGTTAAGTTTACATAAAGCCTGGAGGATCTGTTCTCATTTGTAGCCTGGCAGTTTAAAATATCCTAGCAGTAATTAGAACAGCTGATTGGTTCATATTTGGGTGTTGCAAATCGACTTAAATGTTTTGTTTCTTATGCTGCAACTTTGGTAACAGGAGCCACTAGGATCATTTTGGTAAATCATTACATTGTGTATATTATACTCAGAGACAATTTTTTCTAACCACTGAATGTTTAAGAGTAAAGTTGAGCAAAGCTTTTACTAGTGAGACAAAGCCACTCTTGTGATCAACTTGAGTTGATTACTCACAAGTCACTTTCACCAAGTCCCATGAAAATTACCAGGTTTTAGCTACTGACGTTGCTAAAGGAACTTGTAGGAAACTGATGGGGTTTAAGGACTCTGTGACCAAACCTTCGTCATACCAGAGTGTGGTTTGTATTTGAAAGAGATGTATTTCCTACAAGGGCTTTGGTGGAAAGTCAGATGTTTCATTCTGAAGGAGATTTGTGTTTATAAATTTTCTGCTTTAGCAATCCAATTAGATATCTAAGCCATATACTTGGATCGGAGTCTGAGTGCAAATGCCAAATAGCTGGGTTTCAGCATACTCAATATTTGTTGCAGGTTTGCCTTAATTTCTCCAGGTTTTCCAGCACTGAATTTATCCATGACCTGATACAGTAGTTTCATGCTACTGCAGATGGGCATGTTGCACTCTCTCCTCTGCTCAGTAGCTCTGCAGAGCTCTGTCTGCTCTCACTGCTGGATTAGCTGGCTGGTTAGCTAGCTACAGGTGGGGATCCCATGTTAAGATGTCAGTTTCTGTAGAAACATGGTGAACTGGAGCTGTTCTGGGGCAGCTGTGAGACTTATTAAGTAAGTTCCCTTCATGTTATTTGATAGCTATGTTTGTGAAGAATATTTCTCAAACATAAAACTAATGAGTATTATCTGATACATTACCTTTCTGGTTCTGCGTGTAGCCTGAAAGCAAACTTTTGGAGGTGATGAACTGTTTCTTTTCACTCTCAGGGGCTTGTTAATCTTGAAACTCACAGAGGAAAATGGAAACATTAGCTGTTTCATAGCTAACCGCTTTAGCAGAACTGCTTGGTTTGTGCACGTTAACCCTAAACTGCCTCCTTCCATGGCAGAGACCCCGTCCCTTCCCCACCACAACCATCTTCACCCATGCTCAGAGGTGATGTGCAGACCCAAAGCCCATCAGCTCTGTTGCCAAAAGTTGTGGCTGAAGGATGACCAGCTGGGTCGGGGTGCTCATTTACTTCAGCAAGAGGTTTGGCATCTCAGAAATAGAAGGCTGTTATGTAACTCCTATCCCATTGCAGTGTGCTCTGGGAGGCAGGGAGCTCTGACTCAGGGTTAGGCCCAGCTTTCTGTCTGCATGCAAAATCGTGCAAACCACAGTTTACAAGACTCATGTTGCTGGCGTGTCAAAGTCAACATAACAAGAGCAGAGTGAATAAGTGCAAAAGTAAGCAGCACCAGCCCAAGCCCTAATCCAAGCCAAAATGGGTTTTCTGTCTTTGTTGCTGTTAAGAGTTCAGTCAGTGGGGAGCACATCTATCCCTGTGCCAGGCAGTTGTACAGGGGGGATGTATTGTATTCACCCTTCACTTAAATCCCTCTTCTCTCTCCAACCAGGACTCTGCCTTGTCCAGTGTCTCTTTTGGTACTTTTTCTCCCTTGAAAGTCTGCTTTATAAAGCTGTTCTAACAGCAGAAAGCAGTGTGTGCTGCTCTGTCCTGCCCAGTCAAACAGAAAACTGGTGTGCGTGATGCTTCCCTTCTCCATGCCAGGCTTCTATTTTTGCCTGTTTCACAGAAAGGTAGGAAACAGTGGTGTGGGTGCTGAAGTGGCTTTTTCTGCTCAGTGAGGGCACTGCTCACTCTCCTTGTTGGGCCTCCCTCATGCCCATGACTGAAGTGGTACTGTCTCTGAGGGAAAGGGGGCACCTCCACCCCTGAGTGAACTGTGGGGCTCAGCTGTGCCCTGCAGCTGTTCTGTGGGGCACTCTGCTCTTTGCTATTTCCATCTTTGATGGGTGAGAAGCCCTCTTCAGGCAGGCCTGCTGATTATTTCTGCTTCATCTGGTGCTTTTCAGGAACTGAACTGGCATAGCGCAACTTCAGAGGCTCCAGCTTTGTTAGCTTGGGGGGCCTGGGTGGATTCAGTCGCTGGCCTGTAAGCCCAGTGCAGGACCCAATCCTGGGTAGCTATGATAGGAGATGCCCACCTTCAGGCCTCTGCCCCTCTGCTCTGTGCATGATTCACTGGTTTTTACCACTCAGAACTTTCTGCGGGGCTGTCCCCAGGCAGGCTCCACATGGGGCCGTGCTTGTGCTAGCAGAGCTGTGTGGGCACACCACGTGGGATTTTCCTGTAGCGACTGCCAAGCAGGGGCATTGTGGTCTGGGTCATGGTGGAACTGCCTACTCGTCTGCTTGCTCTGTCCTCCTCCTTACTCCCTCTGCTTTGCTTTCTCTCTTCATGTGGGGTTTCTTTTTTTAGTCTGGATTTTGAGCAAGGCTGTATCTAGAAGTGTATTTTAGGATACTTCATTTACTTCATTTTTTTCCTCTTGCTGTTTTGTGTTCTATATAGAATTCTGTGTTTCTATCAGTGTTTTCCCCTCTTTCCAGAAAGAAAATAAAAATGGGGGAAGGGCATATGCTTCGGGTTGGAAATTCTGCAGCTTACGAAGACTTGCATTTTTTTAAAAACACTGCCAGAATTAGGTAGGTGTTTGTGTGCAGCTGGCATGCTGACTAGCAACTTGTTAGAAAATACCTGGTAAATAAGTTAAAGTGATCCTTTTCTTTTTTTCTCAAATTAACGTCAGAGCCTCCTGGAAACAGTGGTGGTGAGCTCATATCGTACAAGCCATTTCAGTGACCAGGCACCTGCACCTCCCATGAGCAATGTCTCATTTGTTTCTGGCTAAGTCCGTTGGGTTTGCTTGGTTCCTCATGCTGTGCCAGCAGGCATTCTGGCTGATTTTGGTTAGAGCAGGACCCCACAAGGTAAAAATTTTTCAGATAAATGCATCCTTGCTTGGTGCAAAGTCTCTACTTGATCCTGCTTGTAAAAATAAGATTTCTTTTTTTCCCATCCTCTCAGCTTTGTGCCTCTTGTTTTGCTTCTGGCATCTAGGGATAAAGCAGTAATGAAACCTGTAACCTGGGTAAAGTCTGATACAGACCTTTGCTGTGGCTGCCTTTATTTATTACATTGCAAACCATGAAGGATTTTTTTCTAATGAAACTTACTTACCTGTCTTGCTTGATCTGAGAAGAAAATGTTTGAGTGGAATCAATTTCTAGGCCTGTGACTTGAGCAGAAAAGAAAAAAATTGAGGAGATACTTGAAACATCTGTGTTCATTACATGTTGTGGAGCTGAACTTTTTTTCTTAGGAGCTTTAAGCATGAGACTATGTAATATATACAGTACATGGAAATAGTACATAAAAGCATTAGAGCAGGAAAAAAGTTACTCTGATCTGGGGGTATCAAGAGTCCAGAAAAGCAGACTTCTTTTTTCAGAAGAACCTGATGGCTTTTTGAGCTGGTGTCAGCAGTTGGAGGCAATGAGGCTGGAGCTGCCTGGGTGAGTGCCCAGGTGTCAGGAGCAGCAGGGTCCAAAGCAGACCAGGCGGGGAAGCACACAGCCTGAGACCTGGGAGCATCTACTCACCGTCTCTAGCATTGTAGAGTGCTCTGCTGGCACCCACAGATCTTTAACTGTAGTTACAAAATTGTGCACTATTTGTGAATGGATTCAGAAGGTCACATACAGAAGTCCTTAAGGCTCTCGTCTCCACACAGTTGTCTGTGTACAGAAGGGCAATTTTAGCATGTTTCTGAGCTGAGCAGGGACGTTCAGGTCAGCTCTGATTCCTGTGTTGGAATTGCTAGTGCTGTCGGATAGTAAACTATGGAAAAACTTTGTAGTGTGTGGATAGGATTGTTTCTCTTCTGTGCCAGAGTTAGCCAAGGTTAGTCTTGTGACTAAGATGGGCAATTCAAATAATATCATGTGTGTTGACACTAAAATGCTCTGTTTCTGTCACATAACTAATATAAAATAAACCTATACTCTACATTACTTTGAGAATAAGACTACGCTAAATGTCTTTGAGCTTGAATTCTGGGGGAAAGGAAAAAAGATTACTGCTAGTAGGACTAAATTAGCTTAAAACAAATATTACTATTAACTCTTAACTATTGCTCAGTGCATATAAGAGTACTATTGCCAGTGCTGGGGATGGCCATTCCTCCACCCTGTCATGACTGAGCTCTGGCTACAAACTGGGGAACTCTGCATCAATGCACTGCATCCAGAGATGGGGTGTATGGGGTGGAGGGTGGGGATCAGCAGTCCTAGTTCAGTATTGGCTCTTGAAGTAGGACAGATGCAGAGGTGGACCTCTCTCTAGGCCTGTGCTGGTTCATACTGTTACCTGCTTGTGTACACTGACCAAAGCAGGCTGGTACATGGTTACAGTGGAAGGCTGGTCTGAACTCTGAAGCAGCAACGCAGAGGCAGATTTGTGGTGCAGCAGGAGGTGGTGTGGCAGAATATTGTAAAGGCAGTGTCCCTTGGAGGCAAAAATAGATATACATTGTTTCTCAGCTGCTGAAGCAGTTGAGACATGCAATTTTGACCTGGTTACCCATGCAAAGTTTTCCTCTACACTTCTATACAAGGGTTTCAAATATGTCTTGGTCTGTTGCATTCCCTCATCGGGCTGTGTCAGAGAGGGGTGGTGAGTGTGCACAACTTCCAGTTAGACCACGTCTGGTGGCAGTGCTTTGAGCAAGTGCTGTGGCACAACTGATCTTCTGCTACATATAAAGTGGATAACATTTAAAAAAAAAAAAAGCACGTGTTCTTCCATGTTTATTTTGAATAATGGAAACGACAAATATGTCTCTTTTCTTTTGGCAGAACCAGCTCCTTGCGAAAGGCTTGCTGTTCATAGAGGAGAAGGTTAAGCTGTGTGAAGGCAAGTACACACATAGTAAGAAACCCATTTTGGAGTGGAGTCCTTGTGGGCCCTTCTGAGTCATGCTTTGATGTTTGGCTGGAGGAGATGATTTGCAATGCTAAAAAGCTTACAGCCCTTTCTGGTACTACCTGAGAGTGTGTCATGGACTTTAGGGGCTAGGCTGCACTGCAGTCTGTGTGTTCCTTATGGCTGGAGGACTGTTTTCAGAACCGTGTGGCTGCAGTATTCCTGCCAGCCATGGCTTCACCGCGAGAGTGATAGTGTGGTCTTGGGTGGCATTGGAACCTGGGCTAAATGCACTTCTGGCTGGGTGTGAATCCTATTGTGAAACTGTGCTGAGAGTCCTCTGCCTTTTACTTCTGAGTGTGATTTGCAGCTCTACACTCTGGCTGTTTGGACTCTTGGAAGCATGATTTTAGTTACAGCAGTGCTCTGGTGTTGTACTTTTGAGAGCTGAGCTAACAGGTCTTGCGTAAATGTAAAGAAAATGGTCATGTGGATGGGATTGAAATTCTTCAGCAAAAAAGAAGCTAACCATTCATGAAGATCTGTTCAAACCACTGGGTACGGATGCCTGCTGCCACAGAGCCTGTGGACCAAGGCTAGTTTGGAGCAGCAAAGCTCAGGGGTAGCTGCTGGGGGAGTTAGTCTTATTATTAATGGCTTGCTCAAGCAGAGAGTGCTGGCTGAAGCATACATCTTTATTCAAAACTAGGCTACCATTTGATTTGACCCAGTTTTGTTGCCTGTAGGGAAGATCCCTTGCTAATCATCAGCTTGCTGTATCTGGGTCATTAAATGCCAGTAGACACTTAATTTTGTCACTGTTGGCACTGGATTTCTCTGCACTGTTCTTCATCAAGTGACTTGTCTATCTAGCCAGCATGCTGTGGAACTGAATGGACCTTGATGATGGAGCTGTGCAGTTGCCAGCCCTCTGCTTGATGTGTGCTTCTTTAGCACGGACTCTGTAATGGAGGGGAAAAAAGGCAGATTTATATACTACTCATGAATGTGGGTACTTGCCATGCTGCTGCCAGCTCTTCAGACTAGGCACTGTATGCTTATCAGTCTGATATCTTGTGTTTTTTTTTTTTGTTTATTCATGTAAAATATTCAAATTTCTGCTTTAGCATGAGGAAAAGTGAGTTAGTCTACAACAAACTGAGAGCAGATGAGTAGTAGTTTGCAACCAGTGAAGTAGTTTAGGTGGGATGAAATTTTCCAGGCAGACAGCAAATCCCCCTTGTTATGCTTTATTCCCCCCCCCCCCCCCGTTTGAAACAACCCTGGAGCCACTGCACCCATGCAGACTGGCATCTCTGCATGAGATGATGACTCATGACCACTTTTCCTTCATAACATGTAGACTTGTTCCAGGTCCTGTGGTCGCAGCAACAAGAACTTCTTGTACGCATTCTCCATTAGTTGTGTCTTCCTGGAAAATTTCTCCTGTCCCAGTACTCAAAGATGGAATCATGTTCCTGCTGTGGGGCATGGCAGTGTTTTTACTGCATCTATTTTTTTTTTCTAATCTCAGTCTCATATTTTACTATTTTTCTTGCTCTAATCTGTCAGACTCTTTTTCAGTGCCTGTAGGATTTATGAGTTCTTGAAGAAACAAACTACTCTCCATTCTTCTTCAGAAGGAAAAAGCATTTCATTTTTAGCTCCACACAAACAAATTACAGTTCTGGGGAGGAGACAGAGGGAGGAGAAGTTCATCTGTTTCCTGTTGTCTTTTTCACTTATGGCTGGCAGTTTCAGGCAGTGGATATCTGTTATGGGGTGCTGGGTAGGTCTCATGTGCTCCACTTCTGAAACTGATGTCATATCTGAGATACTTCCCTCTCGGCACTCTGGCAGTCAGAGTTTCAAGAGTCAGCTTGAAAGGAAACATCTGTAGAACCTGGTCCTGCTGACTCTCTCCCCTCTCATTGGGTTATAAGCAATATGGCCCATGGGCTGTGCCCTGGAGAAAGTCCACATGGGAGTCTCCAGATGGGGAAAACACATGAATGCATAGTGATAAGTCTCCCCTTAGATGCAATTTTGCGTTCCGGTTCCTCGCTTAAGCTTGAGCTGAGACTTTGAAGATGCCTTGAGCAGCTGTCTTCATTTACTGTTCCTTGAATCCTGACTACTTGAAGGCTCCTCCATATGAGGCTCTGTGAGAGGTATCCTGGGAAATGAGTTTGTCAGAAGCTTGTTATTATTAAATGTGGGTCTGTATTTGCTCCTGGAATTTCTAGGAGTTGTATCTAAAAAGCTTGGCAGAAAGCTGGCACTTCAGGTGGGAAAAATCCCGTAAAAAGCTTAGAGGTTTTGGGTCTAAATGCTGAGAAACATACAGCTGTTTAAATCAAGCCTATAAAAATAATTTAGTGTCTATTTGAACTATAATGTTCAGTAAAGCATTTTTCTGTTAATAACAGGCTTTCTGACCACAGCTGTATTCTTGTTATGGGAGTCATGAGTTGCTTAGCATAATCTGCCTTCATTTGAAATATCCCCTTATGTCTTTGGATATGTGTTGGAGTCAGATTCACATGAGGGCTAACCACAAGTGGAGTTCACATAGGAACCTTCCAATTTGCCACGTTTGAGAGGCAAAACCTTCAGAGGAGCACCATGGCTTTGTGGCTTGTCAGAGTTGTGGGTTCCTGCAGGAGTTCATGACTTCTGTGTCTGTCCTTGAGGGTGGCTGGATGCTAGAGATGGCTTTGCTCTTACAGAAGTTCTCTCTGACTCAGTGGCTGCAGGACAGCTGATACTGGCTGTGGCCTCCCAGCTTTCATATGCAGTTGCTAGCACACAGCTAGGTTCCTGTAGTAGTTTAGTAATTGTGAGCTGTGAAGTTACAGTCTTTATTCAGAGTTAGAGACTCCTTACAAAGAAATGCATTTTGTTGGAGCTTGTTCTCTTAGTGTTAAATGACAGAGCAGTTTATGATCACAACCTTGTTTGTCAGTTAAGGCAAAGCTTAGCTGACCTGTCACTTTCTGTGAGGAAACTGATTGTGCCTTTGTATCTCTTACTTTGGGAAGTATGGAGTAGTGGAACAATTCAACTTGACTGCAGTGTCCCTGTTGCTAAAGCTCTTTCTCACTCCCAATCTGTTTTTGTAGGTGAGGATCGCATTGACATCCTGTCTGAAATTTGGGATCATTACTTCACTGAGACTCTTCCTACACTCCAGGCAATATTCTATCCAGTACAGGTAATCTTAATTAACATAATGACAATTCTGCTAACAGTACAGGGAAATGTCTGTTTTGGAAGAACTGGCTAGTGGCTAAGCAGGTCTCAAAACCTTGGAGCTAAATCTTAGAGGAAGTAGCATTTGCCCAGACCCAGATCAATATTCATTTTTAAGGACTGCTAAAATCTACTGGGCAAGTACAGTCTTCTGAGCTCTTATTTCCCACTGTCTACCCTGTCTGTGCCTAGCTAAGATTGTATCTCTAAATTATTGGATTACTTGTCTAGATTGAAGCTCTGGACTGTTTGCTGAAAGTAGGTTCGTCTGTTTCTAAATATTTGGAACTCCAGTACAGATGATAGTGCTGATGATTTGCCTGCAGGGAAGGAAATATGAAGATCAGATCATGAGCAAATGTCTTAGTCATCCAAACTACTTTTGGAGTGTTTATGTCCAAGCTGTGTCTTTGGAAAATTCTTTGTTAGCGTTTTTAAAGCTTTGGTAAAGGAGCAAGTAAATCTCTGAGGACAAATGGACAACTAAGTGTAAGACTTATGTATACTGGGTATTTTAAATCTGAGTATCCCATCAGAAGTGTCGGGCTCTCAGTTTTTCATGTGGCTTTGGTCAAAGTTTCTGTATGAGAAATCTGGATACCTTCCTAGGCTATTTTGTTCTTCTATCCTGTGATAAGTAGACATTCTCAGAAATGCTAGCTGCCTTCTCTTGACTTCTGGCTGTCCATGAGATATATTTTCTGGAAAAGAGTCTTTTAGTTATATTCCCTTTGTTTTCTTTGAAAGGCAGCATGTAAAGTTCAATTTGCCCTTTTCCTCTAATCCTTTTAAAGCTAGCATCTCCTAGAAGAGCAAAGCCCTTCTATAAAGACAAATGCTAACCTTTTTACTGTTTATTTTTGTTCTTTCCTTGCTGCAGAAGCTTAAAGGTAGGTGTTTGGCAGCTGAAACTGTGCACTTCCAATATGTTCCCTTTGCAACTAACTCACAGTCATGGAGTGATGTCATCTATTTATGTGACAGATTGTTTGCTCTGCAGTTATCTGTGCACTGTAGAAAGAACTGAGCTAACTGTTATGTGATACCTGCAAATAATAATTCTTAGCTTACCAGAAAAATCTGCTTCAGTGCAAAGACTACTGCACAGTAGTTGCAGTGTTTAGAATTTGGTAGCGATTAAACTGAGTATGGGATGCTGAGATTGTTTGAAATAGTAACTTTCTTAGTGTCCATCTCATTGCAAAGTTTTCATCAAAGATTTTTCACAGAAACTGCTAGGGAAGTATTGTTGTTTCACAGATGAAGAACTGAAATGTAACAGACAGCATACTTAAAACTTTGCAAGCACATACGTCCTACACAGAGTTATGGATTTGACTCTCCTGGATACATCTAAGCACCTGACTCTAAGTGAGCTGTCCTAGGTTACAATTAAGTGAATTGCTGGTGCAGCAGGGAACTAATGAATTTTGCTCTTATCCTGAGCTAGCAATCTGATTACAAGCCTGGTTTTTCCTATAAATAAGAAACTGTATGTAGCGTTTACCTGGCGTATTACCAAATGTAAAGAGATCATCTAGCAAATCTCTTTCACCAAGCTGCTGTTCTTCATGCGCTATTCCAGTAGCTGAGAAAGTCTGTGTGCTGTTGGCTCCTCAACGTTTGAAACTCCTTTGTTGCAAACACAAACGTGTTTTGTGACTTTCTGTGATCCCAGCAGCTGACCATTCAAAATGAAAGTAAGTCGGCCAGGTATGTGAGCATGTTACTGGTGGCAGTGACCAGAAGTAACTTTGTGTCTCAACTAAGTTTGAACGTGAGGCTCGTAGCTGTTGCAGCAGTATGACCTTTAAGCGGCCAAGTGGGTTAAATTGCTGTACAGAGGAAAACTATGTAAACAGGTCACTGACTTTAATATAATTGCAGCTGTTGATGTAACCAGTTGGTGTGGAAAAAGAATAGCAAGTCTTGTTTTGTTTGGCACAGCGGTATGTTTGCATTTTGAAATGAGATATGAAATTAATGGGGCTAAACCACATGGGATAAATAAAAAGCGTGCAGCTGCTGAAATACAGTTTGGAGATGAACGTGAGCCAGACTGTTCTACACCTTGATGTTTCTAAGCACTCAGTGATGGTTTAAAAACAGTAAAGTGCTTTTACAGTGGCCATGCTGCTTGCCACCCCACTGCCTTTAGATCGTATTTACATATTGATGATGCTGTTAATTATGACATTAAAACCATTATGAATTAATAATTAACTGATCTTAATTCCTTCCAGCTAAATATTTGCCTCAGTGAGTATGTTACGGATACTATAAAATGGTTACAAAATGGAGTGCAGGTCAGGGATTAATGTGTTGGGGAGAATAAGGAAAACTTTAGGCTGGGAGGTAAGCAGGGCCAGGAGGAAACTTTCTGCTGTTAAGTGGGGCAAGATAAAGTCACATGTACCTTCTGCCTAGCAGAAGGAAATGTAGTAACACTAGAATGCTTGATGGGGTCCAAAGATGTCTGGTGTGCTTAGAAACAGAACTGTGTCTTCACTTGGTAAGCTAACTCACTTGTTGATGCTGAAGGTTACAGTACGCTTTGTGGAGGAAATCAAAGCTGTTGTCTTCATTTTGTCTAGTTGCTTTTAAAAGATGCTGATACAAGCAGTCCAACTAGCTTTGTTCTAGCCTAAATCCTAAAATCTATAGTTGACTGCATTGTGGATTTTTGTCTTACTAGCCAGGTCTGTCTGCTCAGCACCTGCACTTTAGACACAGAACGGGGGCATAGGCTTGATTAAGGAATATTCTGTGCTGAGCTCTTTCCCTACAAAATCTTTAGTGATTTCTCAGCTCCAAGCATCAAAAGCACCAACTGCATCCACCCTGGCCTTCAGGTGTTTGTGACCAGATTGGCTGCCAGTTGGGTTTTATGAACACTTTCACCCTTCTGGTGAAATACAGGCCCCTTTTTGGCTTTACTCCAAGCCTAGCAACACATAACATAAGATGTTACTCTTTTCAGAACTTACGTGGGACAGAGACTGAGTAGGAAGCTGTCAGCACCAGAAGTCCTCACACTGAGCAGCTGGGGGTGCTTCACCACAGCAGTGATGGGCAGGATAGGCCCATTCTCTCTATGTATACGCATGTGTTGTTGTGGTGCTCCCATATTCCTTTACCAACTCTTGAATTTTTGCCTTCTCTGTTTTCTAGGGTCAGGAGTTGACCATCCGTCAGATTGCTCTTCTTGGTTTCAGAGACTTGGTCTTGCTAAAAGTGAAGTTGGAAGAAATTCTTCCTCTGGTCCGGACAAAGCTTCCAGCTTCCATTGTCCAGATGCTATTAATTCTACAGGTGGGAAGCTTCTGGTTTTCCTTGTTTCACTCTGTTTGAGACTCTGTCCTCACCCAACTGATACAAACTTTGGAAAGGAGAGTGGGGAGAGCAGAGGGTGAGGTTAAGGGGAAGATATGTGGTCTTATGTGAGAATGTAAAAATGAAAGCTGACTTTCAATGGTTAATGTCCTGAGCTTTCCTGGCAGTTGATAAGGATAGGTCTGTGAAAGGGCCCAGTTCTGCTCTTGCTTGCATTTTCCTTGGTACTTTGTCTCTCCAGCTAGGGACAGTCCCCGTAGTCTTCTAACTTCCTTATAAGTTTCCCAACTTCTGTGAACACGTAGGTCTCCTGATTTGTCAGCTTTTTAATGACCCAGAGAGTCTCTTTATATGGGTGATAAAGGCATAGGAAGGAGTATTGCCTGCTGGCTCCCTAGTACCTTCCTCTTTCCTAAATGGGATGCTGAACCTCCTCTATGAGAGAAGGTATATTTTATGGCAGCATGCAAAATGGTGCAGGTTTTCCAAGAGCATCTTGCAAGGAACACAGACTTCTTGTGAGGACTGCCTTTTATAATCAGGCTTGAAGAAAACGGAATCCTTGTCTTCCAAGCAGGACGTGTATGGCCAAGTTTACCTTTTTCTTTAATATTGCTCAGCCTGGCAGTCTTGAAAAATACCATAATCCAGGTTGCTGTTTGGGTTCTTCTCAGTTTAATTTCTCTTCAGATATACCTTATGATAATTGATGGGGAGTAAAACTTGCTGAAGTATGTATGATTGAAGTTGCACAGTATCTAAGCTAGTATTTCTGTGCGAGTTGTCGCTCAATTCAGGTATCCTCTGTGACCCAGGCTGTAATAGCAGGAAATGTTAGAGTGCTAGCTCAATTTCCATAAAATATCATAATAAAAGGAGTCAGGGGGCAAAGAGAATCTCAGTGACACATCTGAGAAAGAAAAGCCTACTGAGGGTTTGCAGCAAGCTAGTCTGTGGACACTTTCTGAAATTACAGTTAAATTACTTAGTTACAATCTTTCATAACTGTAAACCGAATTAGAGAGGGTGCTTCTCCTGCAAGCCTGTCTTTAGGAAAGAGCAAGGCTTTGCCCAAGCTGTGACAAGGCATTTCCACAGAGATATTTCCTGGCAGAAGTGCCTTGGTATAGCTGTGTTTCTGTAGTTATTCTGTGTAAATCTCATGTTACTGTAGCTTGTTTACTATCCCTTGGTCATTTAAAAAAAAGTAGTCTCTTGGAAAAAAGTCTCTTGGCAGTCTGACTATGACTTGAACAAGGAGGCTGGTGTGATCAGCATGCAAGTCTCCATTTTGGCTCTTCAGCTGTGTTCCTTTAAGTTCTGTACTGATACAGCTGTGATATTCCAGAGCCAAGATATTTGGACTTTAGTAGAAACTTACTACAGATGGGTAATGATGGCTCTTCAATTTCAACTTTAAATTTCAGAGTGTCCATGAACCTGATGGCCCCAGTGAGAGCTACCTACAGCTGGAAGAATTGGTCAAGCAGGTGGTGTCACCATACTTAGGTTTGTGTGAGGACCACAGCTTCTCTGGTAGCACCTGCTTGCTTGGTAAGACATGCAACAGCGTACGGAAGCTCTTTCAAACAGTTTGTGTGGTACCAAGGTTGGCTAATAGGATGCAGGGCACATCTGTGCTAGAAAGGAAGTGCTGCATGACTCCAGGAGAGAGGAAACAAAGGTTAAAGCACCCTTAAGAATGTCCTGGTTGACATATTTCTGAATGTAGATCTTTTTGATCTGCTTTTCATTTTCCACTGCATACAAGTGCAAAATCTCCACTTTCTGGAGGCAGGCTGGATTTTAAAGTCTGTGCCTGAGGTGCTTTTCTCCCCCTGTTGCACTAGTGAAATTGCATGTTTCTTGTCTACCTGCTTCCTGTTCCTACCAGCTCACCTGTTTTCACTACCTTGATTCCAGCAGTTACTGCATCTGCCACTCTTTGTAAACTGCTCACTTCTTGCCTACTCATCTTGAGGGATTGTTTCAAATTTTGCATGGACTCTTCCATGCATTTGAGCATTCTGTTTGGGGGGAAAAAACAACACTATTTATTTAAACCGTAGGTAAACGGAGCTAGGAAAGAGAACTGTCACATCACTTCAGAAAGGTGATGGTCATAGTGGAAAACCTCTATGTATTATTCAAGAGCCCTGCTAATAAGCATGGCCTGTGAGAAATAGATTAGCTAAGAAATAGATATGGCAGTGCTGGTTAGGTAACCAAAAAGATTGAAATGGAGAAAATGAAGAAAGCTCTAGCCCCGCACTGTTTTGTGGTACTTTATAAGCTGTAGCCTCTCCTTTGATACAGACTTTGTCTAGACGAAGGCACAGGCTATTCTGTGTTACACCTTAGCAGCACAGGCAGAATATGGTCTTATGGTAGAATGGTTCATCAGGGCTCGGATGCTCTCTGTCTCTAGCAAACTCCCAGCCTGTAGTGCTGGGGAAGTGTAACTGCCTGACCTATACTGAAGTTCCTAGCTAGCCTGGATTTCTGCCAGTGAGCAAAGTATTGGTATCATAAAAACAAAATTCACGTGAACTTTACAAGGCCAGTTCATGTGCCTTAAAATCATTGTATGTCTTTTTTTTTTTTTTTTTTTTTTAGCTGTCATTTACTTCTGTGTATTTCCAAGGTGGCCTTTTGCCCCTGCTCCACCCTATGCTGAGCAAAGAGAAGTAACTTTTGATTGCATTACACAGCAGAGACAAAAAGAGCAGCATTTTCCTGCAAATAAGCTTCTGTGGTGGTAGTTTCATCTAGCAATTGCTGCTTCCTACCAGATTTCTCTCCCTTCCCCTCTCCTTTCTGTCACTTATTTTGCTTTCTCAGAGCCGGTGTATTCTGTCACTAGGCAGCTGGTAGTGATGGAGAGTCCCAGTAGATTCCCTGCCATACAGTGGCTCTGTGGTGCCTTTCTGTTGGGCTTTGGATGTGTTTGCATTCTCAGTAGATGCTGTGGAGTCCAAACTGCTATCTGGAACACAACCTTCAAGTTGCGTTGGTTTTTGAGAAGTGCAATTGAGGAAGATTGAGGTCACAGCTGTGAATAAACATAAGGCTTTGGCCTTCAAGGCTGCAGTATGTTAAACTTGATTTAAGCTGAGAGAGGAGAACAGTAGGAATAGGTGTGTGTGTGTGTGGGGGGGGGGGGGGAAGAGGACGACAGCTTGCAGAGTGGATTTGGGGAAGGCAACTTCCCCAGCTGAAGTGACAAATCACAAAGTCTAGGTGGAGCAAGGGGAAGCAACTTGCATCACACAGCCTGACTCAGATGCTGGAGTCTGTGGCCTGTTTCATTCTGAGCTCTGTAGTTCACCCTGCTTTGGTGGAAACATAGTTACTTCAGTTCTTGTATTGTATTCCTTTCACTGTGCTTGTTACTCTCCTGTTGTCCACTCTACTTGCTTACTCTGTGTAATTAGTTGCTACCTGCGCAGGAAGGACAGTGTGCTGAAGGGATCCAGTTGTCTCAGAAACGATGTTTAAATTATTAATACAGGAAAAAAAAAAACCATTCCTGCTATTCACCCTTTAATATAAACCTAGCATCACTGCTTATTTGAGTTTGCCTCCAAAATAATGCCTTAAAAGCTCTTCCCAGTTCATGTTCCTGGTTATAGCACAGCAAAGCAGACTTTTTTTAGTTAAACTATGCATGGTAGTTCCTTTAAGAGAGCATCTTCTCTGGCTGTTGGCAACAGGCCATCCATTATAGGTGAAATGACCTTCTTTCCATTCTGAAACCCATGAGAACACACAAATTAATCTTTGAGTTCTCTGCCAGCTCTTTTGTCTTCTGTGCCATGATGCGGTTGTGGTTCAGCTACTGTGTGTGCTGGATCGTAGCTCTGGGCAATGAGGTTTGGAGGCGTTAAATGGAGATGCCGTTCTCCCTAGAGGACTGCTCCAAGGAGGATTTCAAATGGGAAAGGTCATAGGAGGTTAGAGTGTTTTATTTCAGCACTCTGCTGATTTGTTTTTCTCATGTCAGATTTTTCTTTCAGGATGGAGTTCTGTGCCTTGCAGTTCTTATGGCAACTTGACACAGTGCATACATAGCATTGTTTTTGTGTTCCAGTGTGTGGCAGGGCCCTGCTGCATAAGATAAGCACAGCATCAGGGGAGAGACGAAGGATAGATGGCTAAGAAGCATCAGACTGTGGTCTGTTTTCTGCAAGCCATCAGTTCACAGCTGGAGGTTGTGTGAGAATCATAGAATTGCTCAGGTTGGAGAAGACCTTAAAGATCAATGAGTCCAATCATGACCTAACCCTAACAACCTTCCATTAAATCTTCTCCCTGTGCACCACATCCAAATGGTTTTTAAACACATCCAGGATTATGACTCAACCACCTCCCAGGGAAGCCTCTTTCAGTGCTTAACAACCCTTTCTCTAAAGAAGTTTTTCCTGATATCCAACCTTAACCTCCTGTGGGGCGACTTAGGGCCATTTCCCCTTGTCCTGTCAACAGTGAGGAGAGACCAGTCCTGCTCTCACTGTAAGCACCCTTCAGATATTGGAAAAGAACATTAAGGCCTCCCTTTTTCCCCAGACTGAGCAGCCCCAGTTCTGTCAGTTGCTCCTCCTTTCACAAGCCTTGTTGCCCTTCTTTGGACCTGCTCCAGCCTCTCTCTCCTTTCTGTACTGAGGTGTCATAACTGAACACAATACATGGGTGAGGCCTTGACTTAGGACAGGACAGCCCTAGTCCTGTTCACCACAACATTCCTGATACAAGCCAGGATGGCCTTGGCCACTTGGGCTCACTCCTGGCTCATATTCAGCTGACTGTCCCTCAGTACACTATGGTCCCTTTCCCTTAGGCAGCTTTCCAGCCATTCCTTCCCAAGCTGGCAGGCTTGCTTGGGGTTGTTGAGAACAAAATGCAGGACCCAACACTTAGCCCATTGTATTCTGTACCCTATCCTTACATACTAGCACAGGGGGCTGTGTTCAAGGGATAACAAATCTTACTCTTAAAGACTGAGGCAAAGATGGCATTGAGTACCTCAGCCTTATCCTGATCGTTGGTCACCAAGTTGCCCTCAGCATGCAACAAGAGATGGAGATTCTCTCTAGCCCTCCTGTTGTTGATGTATTAATAAAAATATTTATTGTTGTTCTTTACCTTAGTGGCCAAGTTCAGTTCTAGCTGGGCTTTGGCTTTTCTGATTTTTCTCCCTGCATATCTTTAGTGTATACTTGTACTCATTGTAAGTAGCTTGCCCGCTATTCCAGAAACTATAAACTTTCCTTCTGCTCTGGTTCAGCCAACGATCTCTACTCAGCCAATCTGGCCTCTTTGCCTGTTGGCTTGTCTTCTTGTGACTTGGGGATGATCAGCTCCTGCACTTTCAAAGTAACTTCCTTAAAGCATTCCCAGACTTTCTGGGCTCCCATGATCTCCAAAACTACCTCCCAAGGGACCCTCTCAACCATAGTCCTAAAGAGGTTAAATTCTGCCCTTTAGAAGTCCAAGATGACAGCTCTGCCGACTCCCCTCAGTGATTCAGCAAGGATTGAGGAAATCTGGCATCTCATGATCACTATGTCCCAGATGGCCTCCAACCTTTACATCCCCTGCAAGACCTTCTCAGTTAACAAACAGCAGGTTCAGGATTTTGCTTCCTCTTGCTGGCTCCTTCACTAGCTGTGTCAGAAAGTTATCTCCGCACACTCTAGGAACCTCTGGGGCTGTTCCCTATCTGCTGTATTATAAATCCAGCAGATGTCTGGGAAGTTGAAGTCCCCCACAAGAACAGGGAGAGAGACCTCACCCAACTGTCTGAAAAGAGCTTTATCTACCTCTTCATCTTGGCTGGGTGGCCTGTAGCAGACTCCTGTGATAATATCAGTCTTATTGACCTTTCCTTTTTTTTCTGATCCATAAGCTCTCAATCCTATTATCACCATCATTCATTTCTGTATACATTTTTTCTTAACATAGAAGGTTACACCATGGCCTTTCCTGCCTTGCCTGTCTCTTGCAAAATGTTGGTAGCCATCCATTGCAGCACTCCAGCTGAGTGAGTAATTCCAGAGTCATTCCACCATGTTTCCATGATGGCCTCCAGCTCCTCCTGTTTATTACCCATGCTGTGTGCATTAGTGTAAAGACACCTGAGCTGGGCCCTCTTTTGAGTGGCTGTAATCATAATACCCTCATGACCATACTCAGGTGTTTCCATAGCCACCAAGCTTACACCAACCATCGTGTTTTTCCTACAAAAGGGTGAGCTGTCCTCCTCAATCAAGACTCAAGACTGTGGGATCTTGTTAGCACATCCCTCTCCTACAAGCACTGGATGTTACATACAGGCTCCGTTCTAGTGATCCCAGTTACACCTCCCCGCCCACCTTTGTACCTAGTTTAAAGCTCTATTAGTGAACCTTCCCAATTCCTGTCTTAAGACCCCTTTATGCTGGTGAGAGAAGCTACTCCTATCGGTTACCAGCAGGCCTGGTCTTGTGCAAACAGAGCAGAGGTCAAAAAAAGAGTTGCAGACTGTTCTTAATTTCCCAGGGGACTGTGATTACTGGATAGAGCAATCAAAGGAGGAAAAGTAAAGCAATAAATCTATGTTCAGAGTTCAGCCTAACGTTTTTTCTGATTATCGTAAAGAATTTTACTTCAGTTTCACAAAAATCATCTGCGGATAGTTTTTCCTCAGAGAGTTAGGTCATCCCTCACCTGAAGAGAAGAAACATTGATAAATTCTCCACTGTGCATTTCTGTTTCAGTATCTGTTCAGTCCTGTGTAACCCATTTCTACAACAAACCTGATCTTGAAGGAAACCTCTACTAAAGGAAGATCCACAACTTCTGTGTGGTTACGTGCAGCCCTTATTGGCATTAGATTGCCTGGCTTAATGTCTTAAAAATGTCTGCTGCTGTTGTGGGGAGAAAATAAGAGCAAGACCTCTTGTTTCCTGCCCAGTTATCCTATCTTAACCAGGTACAGCTTCTGGCTAAATACTTGGTGGCAAGAGAAGGAAGAATTCTAACCTCTTCCGCTGAGACCTGTCAGCTATGCTATACATTTCCAACTCGTGTTTCTGTGGAATCTCATCAATTTCACTGTGACAGCAGGAGACAGGGCCATTCTCTAGTGCTGTAAAGTCAGATAACACCCATGGCTATCTGAGATGAAATTGGAGCATTCTGGCCTGTAACTTATTTCACACTGCTATCACCTTCCTCTTCTTCCCTCTGTCCTAACTCCTGTGGAATGTTATGGTCAGAGATTGACTCTGACAAAGGTCTAGGTTATCAAACCGGCTGAGACACTTAACCAGGTGTGTTTCTAAGTGCACCAATGAAATTCTGCTGATATCTTGTTTCTAGCACTTCTGCTGAGCTGTGTGTACAGAGCTATGCAGGGAGCTGCCTTCTGGATGGGAACAGCTTGGAGTCTGGATCCAAGCAGTAGCCACTGAAGTGTCAGAATAGATCTTCACAAACTTCAGGTTCTTCGCTGGCGAGGCCTAGTTGTACTCTTTCAAATTAAATATTTGGAAAGCAAAAGCATAGATGCAGGAAGTATTTTTCCTCAGGTGTATGAAGTGTTTGGCTAATGTGTCAGCAAAGAGCTGTGCATCATGTTTTAGTAGAAGTGGAGATTAAAATCTGGCTCCTGTAATGCACGAGTGACCATCTCTTTCAGAAATAGAAATAATGACTTGAGAGCTCTGCCTCCTTAACGTGTGGGTGACAGTGGCTTAAGAGGAGCTGGGGGGGGGGGGGTTCAGGTCCCTGCGATGTATTGGGGAGCACGCTGATCCCTTTCTTAGGCAAATCTTCCTACAAATCATTTCTTCTCCATGATGGCAGGCATTGCTCTTCTAATTGCTGCAGTATTTAAGACAGTGTGTTTAAGGGACATTCAAGAATTTTAGAGGCACAATCTAAGGCTAACGGAGTGGGAAATCAGATGGAACTGAAACATGAACTTCTGGATTATTTGCAATTTCAAGAATGGCCTTTGCCTTGCTCCTTTTTAGCATTCTCTGTTTGTCCTACTTGTTTGACTATAGTAGAATAGAAGGGAAGAGGTAAAGCTTAGATTTTTCAGATTTAAAATATGCATTAGGAGTAAACTTCTACTGAGATAAGAAACCATGGGAGCGTGGGTCTGTGTGCAGTGTGGATGCACTCACACTGGAGGTTGGCTGCGTGGTCTGGGTGAGCTGTGGCTGTGCAGTGGCAGTTTGGGCCCCAGCTCACACAGGCTTCACGTCTGCCTGGTCTGTGGATGTTTTGCAATCCAGTCCCTGCTTAGTTCTGGGCTGAGCTGAAGAGCGTCTTCTGTCCTTGCAGCGTATCTGGGTTACGGTGGTTACTGCAGTGTGGTCAAACTTAGGACCTTTGCTTTACTTCTGCACACAGCAGGCAGCGTTGTACTCCTATTCTCATGCTGATAAAGGCTTGGGGAGAAGAGTGTGGTCTTGTGCAGTGTTGCTGCTAGTGCTCGCTTCAATACCAGCAGATTTTACAGTCTCCCAGATTCTAGTTAGATTTTGAAATCTGGATAATGTCAGATGCTGAAGCACCAACACATGCATCAACTCTGTAAAGTCTCCTCCTCAGTGAGCGTGTGTAAAGGTGTATGTAAGAACACAAGTACACACATAGCACGGGAGCCTCAGAACTGATGAATACAGCCTGGTTGGTTGGACTGCAAACAATTACAGTAGTTGAAGAGCACTTGTTAGCCATTCTGCCACAGAACACAAGGACGTACCAGAAGGGAATGTCAGGACCAATTTTTCCAGTTTATGTGCAGGGATGGTTGCCAGGCTTGGCAGGAGCAATTTTATGTTATTGCTTCCTACAGTGTTCTTGTATTCAATGGACTTTAACCTCCCAAGTCCTCTGGCTTGGCTGTTTAGCAGCACTAAAAGTATACACATGCAGTGGCACTTCTTTCTCACGGGAATATTTTTATTTATTTATTAAGTGAAGCTCAAGCCATGGCTATGATTTTTCATTTTCCTGTGTATCCTGGCCTCTTGGGAAGGGCTGCAAGCTGTGCCTGTTTAAATAGAGCATATTTTCATTTTAAATGTGCTGTTTAGAATTGGAGAAAAGCAAAGATTTTGCCCTGGAAAATCTGCAGCAATGGAGTTAAGAGAATTTACCACTTTTTGCTTGGCTCAGATTCATCTTCTCAGGCCTCTCCTAAGCCAAGAAACCTCTGCATAGATAAAACTGTTGCAAGACAGACATAATGTAAGTATTAATTTGTGGAATTACATTGTGGTGAACACAACATCAAAAAGCTTCTGAGTTCCCTTTGTCCTCTGCACCAATGAACTGAGCAGCCCATAGCAGTGGCTGTGTTCCTAACCTAGATAGGAGGTGGGCATCAAAGTGCTTGAGTCAGTCATGTTGCAAGTAAATAACTACCCCACCATTGGCTGCTTTTTTTTGGCATCAGCACTTGACTTTTTTGACAACAGTCAGCAAAGAAGCCCTGATAAGTAACATGCAATGTGAAGAAATAGTTGCTGCTTGGACTCCCATGTTATTTGGGTCTCATTGACACCAGACCAATTTTCACAGCCTAGGTGCAGACAGCACCAGTGATGCTGGTGTTGTGCTGCAGTGCTGCTGTGCTGGTACCAGCAGCTGCAGGGAGTTATGGGAGTGCTGGTGTGGTTCCCTTTACATGACCTTTCTCTGATGACCAACACCATCACTTGCTGTACTTGAGCTGCAGTGAATGCATAGGGAAGATATCAACTGCAACCAGCCTCAAACTTACTTGCACAAAGTGAAATCTTCTGAATGTGTTACTGAAAGCACAAGGGTGAAGTGTTGTCATTATCTGGCTGCTGTCAGTGGTGGAGTTTTGGCTGCTCCGCCGTTCCTCCTTGTAACGACACTGAGCTGGTTTTCTGCCTTTCTTATTGATGCTGATTTCAGAGCTGTTTCATAACCTTCAGAGGAGAGCACATTGCTTTGCTTTTTGTTATCTCTTATGCTCTGCAGTCTTGCGGGAAGTCTCCTACATGATCTGAAAGACTTCTGACCTTAGCACATGAAATCCTGCACTTCAAGGAAGTTGGTGAGATACCCAGTGTGGCTGCGAGCTGAGTCCCCTCTGTGTCTTGCAGCCAGCCTAACAGCTTGGACAAAGCTTTGCCTCTGCCCTGTTGCTCATTCCTGCCTCCTTTTTTTTTTCTTCCCAGAGAGACGGTACTCCAGATCCCGTTCCAAAGCTGGTGGACTGAGTTACTCCTCCCACCTGGTTGGCAGTCGGCAGCCCAGTGAGATGGCCCTGACACCTCTGACGGAGCAGGAGGGTGAGGCTTATCTGGAGAAGTGTGGTAGCATCCGTCGCCACACTGTTGCCAACGCTCACTCAGATATTCAGCTCCTGGCGATGGCCTCCATGATGCACACAGGCATGGTGATTGAGGAGTCTGACAGCAATGACAAATGTCTCCTCCTGCAGCCCAGTTTCAGCCACAGGCAGTGCTCCAGTGAGCCCAGTATTGCCGATGGGCCTGAAGGAGGCATGGCAACAGGCAGGCAGGACTCAGCAGAGCTGAACTGCACATCAGTCAGCTAGAAGAAGTCTCTCCGAGGAGAGGAGGAGCGTATGTGCTAAGCTGGACAAATGCTCCTGTCACCCCCGCTGGAAAAAAAGGAAAATTGGGGTTTTGCTCCTGGTAGTGAAATGGTCTTGGATGATTTAATGTCTCTTTGGGAGTGCTCTCCAGACTTGTTTTCCTTGCTTGTTTGTGATTGTTGTTGATAGAGGTACCAGCCGGCTCCCGATTGAGGGTGGTGGGCTGCAAAGTTGAACGTTGCTGTGTACCTTCTGTAAGCTCTTTTACTGTACTAACCTAAATCTTCTGGCCTCAGGTTTCCTTCTGTTTCTTTGGTATGATGCAGATGAGCCTCTTTCTGCTTTTGTCTTTCCTGGTTTTGTGCTACTTGTTTGCATCACAGGATCCTGTGCTTAATGTTCTTTCTTCTGTAGTTGAAGTGGTGACTAAAGACTACCTTTTTCTCTTTTGAAGTTGAACTCAGGGATAAAACTACTTGGATCTTGCAGAAAGATCTGTTCAGATTGCTTGAGAGAAGGAGATCCTTCACTTGCTTCCCACAAGTGTGGGGGGAAGAGAATCTTGAAGAAACCAGCTTTTTTTAGCCCACACATGAACAGAACTGGATACGTATGGAGTGCCAGCTGAACCCTTCCAATGTGCCTTATGTAGTTCCAGTAATGTCTTTGGTGTTGATGTTATAAATCGAGCACCAAGGAGAAAGGTATAAAGTGAGAGCGAATACAGTCCTGAGCATCCCAGTATTTGGCATCAAATTGCTATTTAAGTTCTGGGGTGGTGCAGCTGCAATGAAAGGAGAAATCTAAACGAGTCCCTTCTGAAAGGGAATGCCCATGCATTTCTATCGGGAGAAAGCTAAAGGTGCTTCTCCAGGATGACTGTCATGAGTGCAGAGCAGGAGATGACTTACAGGGCTGCTTCCTTGAGCTGCTGTGGTACTCCCTGCACTTGCAGGATTCGTGAGAGCAGAGATAAGCAGCTGGGTGCAGAACGGAGCGCTGTCCTTGTAGCACATTTGTGAAGTGCTTCTGACCTCCAGTGGTATCTCGCTCAGTGAGCATTTCTTTAAGATGAAGCGAGGGCTACGTGTAGTCTTTGTTCCTATTTTTGTTTTGAAGATTAGGATTGGGTCCAGGTTGTCAGTGTGTCAGAGTTGCAGTGCCCACTGCATGGCACCGTTTGGTTCTCAACTGCTGCTTCTGTGGGAGCAGAACCGATTTGTTGGAGCAGTACTCTGGTGCCTCGCTAAGCAGATTTGCAAGTGTAATTACAAGCTTAGAGGTAAACTGAAATGCTGCCTTAAATGTCAAATCCCATTAAAAACGTGGATATAATACCACAGCCTCTAGAATCCAGTCCCTGTGGTACTGACTGCAAATAAATCTATCCTGACAAGGGAACAGGAAGTTAGGATGAGTCTTCAGGAGATGTTTTTACATATTGTGACGTTAATTGCAGAATTTGCCCCGCTGCCATTGGGCATTAAGCACCTTTTATTGCATGGGCTGTACTGAAAGAGCAGCTTGGACCTGCTGGGATTTGACTTTGGTAGCATGTGCTGCAAAAAGCAGTTGGATGGTTATTGTACCACAAAGCACCAGAAAACCCAGCAATGAGCACAAGTCTTGCTGTCTGTGTACATGAGAATATTTCTTTGTCTCCTGTGGTTTGCAAATCTCCAGATAGTTGGAAGGGGCTGTGTTTTCTTGTAGTTGGTCACCTGCGACACCCTCGCTGCTGGCCTTTGTAGAAATGCAGTGTTTTTGTCCCTGCTGTAATTATGTGAGAGAGATTGGGTTGTGCTGTTGGCTTCCTAGGAAGGATGTGTCTGGGGAGGCAGGAAGAGGGGGATTTAAGCAGTCCTTCCTTTAAATGGATTCTAGGGGAAGTTGCCTTCTTATTCCTAAATTGGACTGATTGTGCCACCTGATGCTGTCACACACACTGACTTGCAGCCTTCTCTTGGCCACAGTGTACACGTGGGAAGTGCTGATCCTGCAGCATTTCAGCTCACTCCTGTAAGTGCTTCTCATCTTTTTTACTTCTCATTTCCCTTTTGTAAATGCCCAAAGTTAGCAGCGCCGCCTTCTGTGATGAAAATGAGTATGATTTATTTCCTGACATACTCTTGAATCATCTCTAGGGCTAATAGGAACCCAGTCCTGGTTTTAACTTGAATGTCTTTTGTTTTACATCTATTTATAATTTTGAATCATGTTGATTTTGTACCTGTTACGTTGTGGAAATTTGCACCGAGCCACTCTGAATTGAGCACTTCCCCTGGTTGTTTGGATGTTTTGTTTATGGAGAATTAAAGCTGGTGGCTTTACTTTTTAAACTGAACTAAACTTTTTCTCCAACTGACACAGAGGATCTGGTTGGAACTAGGTTTTCACGGGCATTTGATGGATCTTGAACCTTTCTTTTGTCAGTGTTGGTACTGCTGCCTTCTTTCCCTCGAGGAAGAGAATGCTGCAGAACTCGGGATGGCTGTGGGCAGTGAGCTGCCCCTTCTGTTGGGGTGCTTCTGAGTGAGGTGGGTTCAGACCCTTCTCTACAGCCTCCTGACTCCTCCAGGAGTTGGGATCTTAAGGATCTCCACTACCCTGAACTCATACTGCAGTACAGAGCAGCTGCCGATTGCAGCAGTGCTTGAGGAGCTGCTGTTTGAAGCCTCTGTCATTGGGCTTCAGAGCCAACTCCCTCTTATGCCGAGAGCCAGTTAATAATTCTTGTGGAATTATTATTATGGACTGCATAGTAACAGCCCCAGTTACCCTGGAAGAAAGACTGGAGTCACAGAATCATTATTTCTGGGCTAAAAGTTTATGAACACATCTGCGCTGGCTCATATTCAAGAGTTTGCAGTTGCTATTGTCACTGGAAAGAGCCCCCACACTTTTTAACCTCAAAACCTCAGTTCTGTGGGATTGCTCGGGCTCCTGGAACAGTGGACAGTGCTGTACCAGGACAAACTGGAAGGTAATGGAATTAATGTATATTAAATGTCAGTGAGAAACCACAAGATCCTCTTCAGTGTATGACACTTAGGATGATTTATTACCATTATTGCTAAGCAAGCCCTCTTTTCTCCTGTGGGTTTTTAATCCACTTCATACTAAGCAGCTATCGACTAACAGATATTGATGGTCCTTGGTGCAGAAATAGGAAGTCCTTCCTTCTCTCCTATGTATCTCTAAGAGGCAGCTTCACTATTACGAGAAGGGCTGTCTGCTGCCTTTCTTCAGGCTCGGGAAGTGAATGATCATTGATTTGCTGCGTGGTTGCAAAAGAAACAAAGGGAAGGGGGAAGCTGTTCTGAAGGAGGGAAACGATGGCACCTGTACTGGAAAGCTCCTGCAAAAGCAGGACATTTGAGTCTAATACTCTGCTCCCGGGCACCAGTGAGCTGAATGAAGATGGTCCTGGGAACTCAGATAAGCATTGGAGACTTTGTGTAATTCTCCTTTACAAGCTTGTGTGGGGGCTGCAGAGAGGAGAGGATTTATTGTGATTTTTCTTCCCCACCCACAGTCTCTTCCCAGAAGGCTGGGGAGAACAACTATCATGTACTGAGCATCACTGCTTGTGATAGAACATAGTTGGTGGAGAACCTCTAAGCAATACAGCCTGGATCTGGCTGTCAGCCTGTTCTGTGGCCCTTAGATGCAAGGCATCTTTCTCCATAGGTTACTTCAGGGAGAAAGAGAGGGCTAGAACCCTGTATTTTTTTCCTCCATTCCTTTAGTAGCTGCTATAGAAAGCATCAGCCTTGTTTCGTGAGTCCCAGTGGTACTTTAAGTACAGATTCACTTTTGAGTTTTAACTAGAGGATCCATAAGGGATGTACACATTAGTCTACACAGAGACTTTCCACAAGACGCAGCCAAAGCCTCAGCCTGAGGAGCACTTTCTAGGTGATTTGCTGAGGTAAGTGGAGTTTGTTACACCTGGTGAAATACAGAAACCAGGAGAACTTGTATGTGCCACTTCTCCTTGACAGTAGCCTGGTTCCTTGGTGTGCTGCCAGAAGGCCTGACTCATACCTAGCTGGAAACACTGCTTTCTTAAAAACAGCAACAGAAACCAAGGTAAAGCTTAGAGAGAAACAATGTAATGCATAATGGTGACCCAATGCAGAAATGGAAATAAAACCACTAAGCTGTAGCGTACTATCCTAGGGTTTGACAAGTGGCTTTCACTGTTCATGTTTAAGAACAGAACTGTAGGGAGCTTTCAGTATTATGGAGCTGGTGCCAGCAGTTGCAGAGAGGACGTGTGCTTCTGAAGGCAGGAAGGAAAACCAAGGGGTTACCAGAGCGGACCCGCAACAGACCTGCTGGGACTCTGCAACCTACACCCGTCTCTGCAGAGTGGGATGAGGTAAGAATTGTCTTGCTTTTTATTTTTGAACATATAAATTAACTTGTATGGAAATGATTTTGTCTGAGAGGGGTAAGAAGTAGAAGATGAATGTTTCGAGGCAGTTTATCACAAGGCAATTAGCAAAGGAACGCTTCTACTTTAAGAATGCAGGTGCTTCTTCCAAAATTATTACTGCCCCACTGCTAAAATGCTGCTCCATTTAAACAGGCAGTTCTTAAGGCTCTTCAGGAAGCTGAGCAGAGCAGAGCTGTCCTGTAGACCATGCTGCAGTGCAGTATGAATGGCTCTGGAATGGGCTATGTGCCAGCCTGAGTATTTAGCCATGGTTGCATTAGTGAGCAGCTTGCACTGAGTTGCAGTGAAGGTCTGGTTGTGACAAAAGAGCAGGAAAGCAGCAGCTCCAGCTGTGAGAGGAAATCACTGAGCACAGGAACTGTTGTGGGCTGTGTCAGTCCAGATGAGTCAGAGCAGGAAAAGGTGGCTCATCAGTCCCAGCCTGGACAAAAGCTAATAGGAAAATGATTTCCCAGTTCACAGTTTCAAAAATTTCCTCATTCCATCTCAGAAGGAAAAAAAACCCCCACAACCCAAGCACTCGCTTCCACAGAACAAATGAGTTCAGTCATGACTGCTAAAAGACTGGATAGAGCAGGGCTCCAGATTTCCAGCAAGTCTTGCTGCACCTCAGTCGTCATCTGTTCCCCCTCACAAAATAAAGGTAAAGTCATGGAGGCAGTACTGTGTATTTTTTTTTCTGAACTAAAGAAAAGTTGTGGCCTTCCAGAAGGAATTATGACAGGAACGGTTGATAATGGTTCTACTTGGAATAAAATACTACAGTAGATTCAAGCTAGCATTCGTACATTAGAAGCTTTCTGCTTCTTTAGGGGCAAGGGAAAATTAAAAATGAGAAACAAAGGCAGACATATCTTAAAAAAAATATTTGTGAACTGAAAGAGGTGGCAGAAATAGCACAATCTGCATGCGTTCTGAGATCTGCCAGGCTGACACAGCTGTTAGTGTGTAACATGTCTGTTTTTACATAGGTGAGGATTGTTATGGATAGGTGAGGTCTCAAAAATTTAAAAAAATTAAAGCCAGCAAAGCAAAAAAACAAAACAAAAACAAAACAACAACAACAAAAAAAAAACAACCAACAAAAACAAGACCTTGAAGAACAGATTTCCTGAAGTAAAGAAGACTTGGACGGTGTAAGGGTGGTGGTCCCCATGGATATTGTCCTTGCAGATGGAGCTAACAAAGGTCAGTGCTGTTGACTTGACTTCTGTCTCTTCCTGTTCTGCCTGTTGATCCGTTCCTGGCTTTCATGTTATTTCTGGTTATCCCCCATTTGTCTCTTATGCCCCCAGTTCATTCTACTTTGCCACAGTTATTCTCTGTTACCCCCAAGTTCACCCCTTTTCTGTCTATCCTTGTCTATGGCTGAACAGGTTGTGATGTTGAATAGTTCTCAATGCATAAGTTAGAGGACCTTCACCCAAACAGCTTCCTTCCATGCATTCTAATAATGACTAAAGCTGTCACCACCCTTTATGAACTACAACAATCCTTCCCTACTGAAATATACTCAGCATTTTTTGGTTTTTGACTTGCATGCTCTCCATTACTATGTTGTATAACTCAGCCAAATGAAACCCACAAGACAAAGAACCAAGTTCTGAAACAGTCGATGTTTTAAACAGCTCTCCCTTTGAATAAAGGTGTAACACACAATGCATGGTTTAATTACTTTATTTTTTAAAAAATCCTGTCAGAAATATAGCTGTGTATTAATTACAAAATATATTAATCTATTGATATTTTAAAAAGGAACAAGAGTACCTTAAATTCTGTTCAAATGGAAACCAATACAAACCTTTAACACTGACCCCAGAATAATCTCTTGCATCTATCATTAAGGTACTTGATGATGAGAGTCTCTCTCCAGACAAGAGCAGAAAGGCCACCCTGATTTCTTTCATTAGCGAGTTCAAGCCCTCGCTCGCAAACACAACCAGGCATGCCATGAGACCACTTAATATAGATCACATACCAACATTTTCAGTAATTTTTTCCCTGCCCTGCAGGGGAAGACATTCAGAGACAAAAAGAGAACACATTTGCAATATATTATAATTGGAAAATGTGCCATAGCAGCTTTGCAAATACATAAACTAAGAGTCTGACTTGAAACACGTTCAAGATGACAGAAATTCAGAAGATAAATAAGCTAAGCCACTTACTAAAACACCTTGAGATCTAATAATGCTGCAAAGCGTCTAGAGTGACACAAGTGGAGAACCTCATTCCTGAAGAAATTATACAGGAAGCTGACTTAACACTCCTATTTTTGTGTTTGTTTCAGGTACAACTCTCAAGGCTGCACACTATTCCCCTTCCTTTAAGGAGTTCTCAACCCACCCTGGCATAATGATTTTTCAAAACAGATGATCACATTTGTAAGGCTGGGGAAAAAAAAAAAAAAAAAAAAAAAAAAAGGTCATTTAATTAAGAATATTTTCATATGGAAACTGAGCACCTTAGTACTAACCTCAGGAAAGTTTGAATAAAGGGTAATAGTCATGAGAGGTGGGACCAATCCAGACTCCTAAGTATTCCATTGGCTGAAGATGCTGCTCTTATTTGGAAGAGAAAGCACTGGAACTGCAGTTAAAGGTGGGGAAAGAATAAGGGAACTGGAACAAATACACAAATTAATGTTTCATTAACATTTATGTTTCAGGGCAGGAGAAATTAATATTTAGCACATTAGCTGTCAAAGCTTCTTATGTAAAACTCTGGCATTACAGTAACGGCATCACTCAGAGTTCTACTAAATAATATCACAACAGAAAGGAGTAGAATAGCAGTGAGTTGAGCGCTCCTACTTACACGGTCAATACATGCTTTCTATTATATTCTATTCGCTGCTGGGTTGTGCTATTGTACAATGTTAGCCTGAATCATTTGAACTTCTCAACCTGCCACCAAACTGAGTTTCAACTAGAGGCGTAACTCTATCAAATGTAGCAGAAAAGGCTCAAAGCAAGAATTCAGTTTGCTGTAGGTGAGAATTCCTAACACAAAGCTTCAGATGCAAAGTATTAATGCACTTAGTGGGTCTTTGTTATAGAGTACAGACAGGGCCCTTTTGTTAACATCACCAGGGTTGAGTAGGGAACCGAGAGCTGCTTCTTGCTATAAATGAGCAGTCCTTCTTCTGCCTTTCTCCCCTGACCCACCCAGAAAAATGAGAATGGTAATGTTTGAGTATGTTGGAAAAAGATGGCTAACTAACAGCCTGAGAAGGACTGCAGAACTGCTGTGCAGTGCAAAGAACTGCCTTCTGGCTATCGCAGATCTGAGTACTGTTACAGGTATTAAAAGCTTTTCAGTGAGAATGGCTGAGTTACCAACACTGCTTTAACTGGAGGCACAGTGGAACAATCCAGTTAATGGGATGAGACTGCGCAGTACAAAATTGACTTAAGAGGTTTAAAAAGACAGATGTAAAGCAAGGATCTTTTCCTGTTATTAATATAAGCTCACTAGCCCTCCAAACACACCAAATACACTAATAAGTCACTTGTGACTGTCACAATTAGCCAGAAGTTCAGTATTCAGTAGCAACAACGCTTAACAATCTCTCTGCAGATACCAGTCTCTATCTGCAAAATAAATTGGTTCATTGCATCCAGCTGAACAAACCAGTAAAGGTAGAGGCCTGCAACTTCTAAGCTCCTACAAGTACATGGAGAAATCTCCCATATCAATGTACTGCAGTACTTGTTCCTTAGTCTTGTGCATATTAAGTATATGCACTTAAATACGTTTTCTAAATGATGATCCCCATGAGGTTGTTTTGAAGAGACTGCTTATTTGGGCTGCTTTTCAGTGTCTTCTAAGTTGTGGCATCCCAAATCCTCACACTGTTTCACTGGTTTGCAGAAATAATGGAAAAGAGATGCTCCTGCAGGGCTACTTCTTTACTCTGCCTTAGGCTGCACACTTCAGTTCGGGAGCAAACAAGACTTCTCTTTGCTATTTTTGAAGGAAAAGATCCATGCTTTATCAGTACTATGGTAAATCGTTAGCACCAGTGAACTTATCTACTCTGCTTTGACTGGTCAAAACTAGTATGTATATGGAATAAGTAGAGAAAACAACAACACATGCAACATGAGGAAGCTCATGAATCCTTGAACTAGTGAACTTAGTGTTTGGTTAAAGAGCTGTTAAGGAAGACAGGCTTTTTTTCCTGAGAACAAACAGGACTGCAATTTTTCCCTCACACTAATTAGCAGGCTTTTCTTTCCTCCTGAAGTGTTAAGGAGGTCCAAGGTCCTATTGTCTAATGGGACAGGAAATGGCCACAACAGCTGTACGCTGACACGGCCAGCTGTCCACTGAGTATTAAGAGGAGATTAATATAGCTCCTATCACCCAGAACATCAAGGGAAGGGATGACTCAGATGCAGATTCCCAAGTTCAACACTGCTATAATTTAGGTTTCAACAATAAAATTCTGCAACCCTGTCTAGTCACTGTACACCTTTGCTCATGTCTCTACCCTCCGCCCAAAAACACCTTTCAGTCTAATGCTACACTTACCTCTAGTAACAGCAATTGAGATTCTGGGCCTGGAACACACAGCACACGCACTTGCATACAAAAGTTAGGGTCAAAATAAAGAGCAGTGGGGAGTAGCACTTTCAGACCATCTTAGAAATATTTCTAAGAGCTTGGCTCCTTTAACCTTCCTCACAACACTACCACCTACCTTTCAGAAATTCTACTATCAACTTGATATTGACACACAATTTCTTACTGCAGCAAAGAAGGGTCGAAGCATCTCGCTTTAAGTTGTGTCAGCAAAGCTTTAACCTGACTTCATTTCAAGAGAAACATAGTCAATTAAAAATTCTAGGTAAGTCAACATAGAAACCATCTCACCCAAGGCAAAGCTTTCCCAAGCTCCATGAAAAAAAGCCTAACCCTCATTTTTATTAATTTACCTACCTATGATTTCCCTGCTGCAGTACCTACTCCAAGGCACTGAGCTGCAAAGATTTATAGGTCTTTTCTGATATGACTTGCTTGCACTTTGCCAAACAGAAATGTGTAGGTACTTCAGTAAGATTTTCTTGTAGGCAGTTAAATTTTGATTAACCACACTTTCAGTTAGCTTGCTACAGAAGTAGCTTACAACTTAATAGAGAACAATTGCTAGTATTCAAACACGACCTCATAGAGCTGTTCAAGTGAAGATCAACCGTGGCAGCATTTACGATCTTATTCAGCCTATATGGATAGTGGAGCACGCGTGTATCTGTGGTGGAAGAGTACGACCAGGCCTCCATCCCTCTAGTTAAGACTTGGTTACGCAGCTCCATCAGTACTGCGAGCTTGAAATCCTTCCCTGCGAAGGCTGTTCAAATCTAGACGTGTTAGAACTTCACAGCGCACCAGAAGGGTATCATCCTTTACAAAGGTTCTTTGCTTCAAAGTTTGCAGGTGCATGAAAGTCACATAACCAAAACCTTTTGGATTGCGATGAATCGTTGGTCTCTGGAAGGCGAGTAACTCTGGCTTGGCTTCCATTACTTCTTCATGATTCTGCCTCTCGGGGCCTTCCGATTGATCCAAAATAGAAAGTCGAATAGTGCCTTGGAAAGGCCAGGGCAGATGGCTGTCATATTCCCCTTGCATCGTGTGGACAAACAGAGATATAAAATTAGCACACCGCTGAGCATTTGGTAACTGGATATGCAGGCGCAAACACAGCTTGTAGCCAGGTTTTCCAGTATAGAAGCCGGGACTGTGCATCACAACAGGCCTCTCTTCTTCCTGGGCTTTCTGAAGTCCACTGAAGTTCTCGATCTTCCAGATGTAAATACCATTACATTGTTGTGCCTCCATTTCAGTAATCTTTCCCTCCAAATTTCGGATGGTACGTTTGAGTTCTGCCATGTGAGTGTTCTGCGTCTCCATCTTTGCAATGAGTTCTCTGATTTGGTGATCTTGTCTCACTAGACGACCTTCCAATTGCTGAATAGTTTCTTTAAAGTTTTCAACTTCTGGATTACAATTATATGGCGCATGTGACACATGGGAGAAGAGGGCAGGCTCAAACGGTAGGCCGTTGATAAAGGGTACAGGGTTTGTAGCAGTAACACTGATATTTTGAATGCTCTGAGCCATCATTCTCATGTGAACCTGAGTGAATTCCTGCATGTGTCGTGCCAGCTCGTTCCTCTGCATCTAGGATTTAAGAGATGTAGCGTTAAGAATGCATCACATCCTAAATGTGGTTCTAAAGTACAAATAAATAAAAATCAAACAAGTCCTGTTATGTGAGAAAAAACAGAATGCAAGTCAAAGACAAACAATGTGACAAAGCTGTAAAGGTGATGTGAATACCAATGAAGGGCTTCAAATTCAAAAATCAGATATGATAAATGTGAAAATACATTCAAATGTCAGTGCACAAGAGCTGTTTGACAAAATATACACCTGGTGAAAAAGCATCAGCAACAAATAAGTATTTATGTGCTAAATCAGCATTGCATTTCCTTTGTAGACTTGCAGAAATGGCTCTCCGGTACCAGAAGATAAAGACCTACGAGAACTGATGGCATGAGGATGAGAAAGTTGATTTTCAGAGTTACTGCACAACTAGAAATAAGAATATCCAGCCAACAGAGTTTTATGGTATTTATTATTGGTATTCCACATCATAATGCCAGGTAGTGCACTGGGAATTAAAGAGTTAATGCTCCAGTTCTGTGGATCATGGATCACTCCTGGTACCTGGTTCTCAGAAGAGAAGAACAACTACATACTACATCCCCAGAGGTCTTTGTGCTGTTCTGTTTCCTGTTCAGAAGATAGGACTGTTGGCATATCACAAGATGACCCCTTTTTGCCTTCTGCTCAGCCTGGCTAAACATCTCACCTCAACATTAGAATAAAGTCTTCAGACATTCTCATTTTATTTATTAGCTTTGATTCTAATTATATTGTATTATACTATGTTACCTTGCATTCCAATATCTTATTTAGTAAATTAGTTTGTTTCTCCTCAGATTGTTGCTGCTGTTTTGTTTCTAGGCCCATCTCCCTACCCTTGGCCCTTCCCCCCCCCCTGTTTTTTTTTTTTTTTTTTTTTTTTTTATGGCCAGCAGGAACAGGGAGGTGATTGTCCCTCTCTACTCTGCCCTCATGAGGCCCCATCTGGAGTACTACCTCATGCTCTGGTGCCCCCAATACAAGACAGACAGGGAACTGTTGGGGAGGGTCCAGAGAAGACCCATAAAGATGATGAGAGGGCTGGAGCACCTCTTCTCTGAAGACAGGCTGAAGAAGCTGGGCTTGTTCAGTCTGGAGCAGAAAGGCTGCAGGGTGACCTCACTGCAGCCTTCCAGTACCTAAAGGCAGCCTACAAACAGGAGAGGAGTCAACTCTTTGAAAGAGTAAATAACAGCAGGACAAGGGGAAACGGTTTTAAGTTGAAGGAGGGAGGATTTAAGTCGGATGTCAGGAGGAAGTTCTTTACTATGAGATTGGTGAGGTGCTGGAACAGGCTGCCCAGAGAGGTTGTGGATGCCCTGCCCCATATTGAGGGCCAGGTTGGATGGGGCCCTGGGCAGCCTGGTCTAGTATTAAATCTGAAGTTTGGCAGCCCTGCCAATTGGCTGGGTGTTGGAGATTCATGATCCTTGAGGTCCCTTCCAACTCAAGTCTTTCTATGACTCCCCTTTTCCAGGGCATGAGTCTGTGGGTCCCCACACCCTGCTAGTCACAGAACCAGGCAGAACCAGTCCATAAACCACTGACACAAGATTAAGTAGCTTTGGAATTCAATCATATTTAAAGCATTCTCAAGTCATCTTTACCAAACCTAAAAAGTTATAACTGTATTTGGTCAGAACTTTGTAAGAAATGTTAGAAGTTACTTCCTTGGTATAAAGTTGAGATTGCACTCATGGAATAATGCACATCCATCAAGTACACATTCAAGTTCTCTAAACTTGGGACTTTTGAAAAGCACTGGATCAACATGCCATGTTTTGGAATTAGAATGCCTCCAAATGACCAACTCCACCAATCACTGAAGATTTGAGTTGGTAGATGAGACAGTAGGAACAGACAAAGAGCCATGCAAAACATCTGCAGCTCACACTTCTGACAAGGCTTACCTTTTCAGGACACCCAAAGGCACTGTAAAAGCACGGTACTGGGGCAGTAGGACAATCATTATCGTAATGGTTGGGCATCTGAAACAAATCAGATTTGAAATGAGTTCTCCCCATTAAGAGTATTCTCTTTACAACATCATCACAGTCCAGCTTGCCCTATTTCAGTATATGTACCTGAAGTAAAAATCAATTTATTTTTGTATCATTCATTTGAGAAATAGGGAAGCTTTAAACAAGAGTGTGCAGCTAATGATAAAAATTTAACATCTTCCTTGCACGTACTTCACTCACTGCTTCATTGATGTAGTATCTAGATTATGCATCAGAAAGCATTAGAGTTCCTCTCTTGTGCGTGAGCCTTTTGTTTCTAGCCTATACTCAAGCTAGATCACAGTCTACTTCTTTCTCTTCTGAAGCACTATTTACACGTACTCAGAAATAGTTGTGTCGCTCCTCCTTATTATCTTCTCAATAAGACCACATTACTTCAATCTTTCTTACAGTCCATATTTTACAGACCCAATTATGTCATCGCTCCAAATTCTCCCTGTCCATCTTCACCCCAAAAGCCAGACAGCTTCAGCTGAGGCCTTGCCAGCCCTAACCAGGACTAAGGATAATTTCAGGTTTCTCAGGCAAAAGACTTGTTTATAAGCTCAATATAGGTCATTCACTAATCTGTTTTCTCATTCTCTGTTAAATAACAAACTGCAAAACTATATAACCTGAAGTTATGTTTGCTTCTTAGCAGCGTTTAAATCAGTATTACACCTGCAGTGGATGCAACTTCTTCAGAGAGATGAGGAGAGATTTAACAGCTAGGAGAGAAACCATTTCTTCAGATTTAATTTGAGATTGTGAAAAATACAAAAGCTGTTCTGTAAAGAAATGGCTGCAGCACAACTATCTTAAGGACAAATATGCTTGTATTTACTTTTATATGTTTGCTTACACTCTGCAGAGAACACCTGCATTTCCTTCAAGCAGAGGTAGCCTTGGGAGTAAGCTCATCCTCCTCAGGAGAGATCTATTTCATCAAGTGTGCATGAAACCCTTCGATCACATAACCATGCTGGCACAGCTGCCCATGGAAACAGCAGCTGCCCCATCCCTGGCTGTGTTCGAGGCCTGGCTGCATGGAACCCTGGGCAGCCTGACTGAGTGCTTGATGCAGTGGTTGGCAAGTCTGCCCAGGGCAGAGTGCTGGAACTAGATCATCATGGAGGTCCTAGAAATCCAAGCCATTCTATGATTAAAGCAGCATTTTAAGTACAAAACATAAGGCCCAGATTAAGCACGTACAAAAAAAGGCAGTTTCTTACCTGCTGCCTGATGAGCATTGTGTTGCAATATTCACAGAATACATTGGCAAGAGGGCAGGTTTGGTCATGAAGCTGTTAACAAACAGCGATAGAGGAAAACAAATTAATAACATTATGCAATTCCAAAGAATGCTAATCACTTCTGATGAGATATTTTAAAGCTGAATGCAACTGTGAAATAAAGTTTAAAAAGAAGAGCTAGGAGAAGAACTGAAGTGATCCTATTCTCATGCAGGTATCCCCAGAAGATGCACTTCTTGATCCTTTCTGCCAGGCATACAAACTGTAAGTGTGGGATATTGCTTTGTATATTACTTTGCCAGTAGGTACTGCCCCCTCTGATGCCAAGGCCAAAAAGCGACCACTGTGAGACATCTTTTCACACCACAGGGTTCCCAGATAAGTGCCCTCGTGTTCAGAGCTTCTACCCTGTGCAGTTCAAACAGCTCTTCCATATGAAAGCCTTCTTTCTTTCTACAAGACCATGATGTCACATTCATGAGCAAACCCATATGAATGGAGGCTGAAAGACTCCTGCCAAGTACCTCCTTATCTTCATAAGCCATAGATGTGGCACAGTTTGGACAGCACACTTGTCGCCGGGGACACTCCTGTGTCATGTGCTCTTTCAGGTGGTTCTTCTGAAAGGCTCCTTGGCACTGTGGACATTCCACAGCAGTGAAATCACAATGCAACTGGTGCTCCTGAACAAAGACAAAAGAGATTTGATACTGAAAACAAGTGCTAATTTATTGCTTGCTTTTCAGATAAGGCACAGCACAGGAGGAACAAGCAATAACCCTTCCTTCTTTCCTTCCAAGAAAACCCTTATTTACACTTACGCTCACTTCACTAATGGCACGTCGATGTTCTATGGCCAAGATCAGGACTTCACACATTCAAAGCTTCAAGAATGCTCACTGCTAAAATTCAGCTTGGTTTTTTTTTTTTTTTTCCCCTTACAACTTGGGTGTTATTTTCCAAAACAATTATTTCAACTAATATCTACTGCTTTGAAGGAAATGTTACACTGACTTCAAGGAACCTGTATGAAGTATGGATGAAGCTGATGGAAAGACAAACAGGAATGACCTCAAGAAGTGAGCTGCATTACTACAGTGTCACATACTCCAGGGTTTGTTTTTTTTTTGTTGTTTGAGAACCACCTAATTACAACTATGTGCTCCTCAGAACAAAACCAAAAAAATACAGTTGTAGGCTTGAATGAATGGAATCTGTATGAACAGGTATGACCCCTTAAGTCTGAATTTTTCCTCATCCTTAAAAAACAAGGTTCCGTATTGTCAGATCTCATTCTCACCTCTAAATGTCTCAGCTCCATCTTCATGCAGCAGCCCTTGTTGGGACACTTAACTGTTAATGAAAGGATTTCCCGTTTTGCAAAGTTGTCTGGAAAAAGTTGATTTTCAAGTAGAATTTCGTTGTCTACTGGACATTTGTGACCCGCATCTCTACGATGACAGAAAGACAGAAAAAAGATTTTGAGTTTCTTTTGCCCTTAATTTAAAATATTTTTACACTACCAAGACATTAGCAGCCAGGTAATGACACATGAATAAAGTACTGGAAAACAAAGGCATTTATGTGACAATTACCAGAAAGGATGCAATATCAGTTAGAAAAAATGACAGCATAAAGTTTCATCCGAGGTAGTACTATTGAGATCGCAGAGCTGTTCTAACTCAGTAGCTTTTAATTGCCCAAATGACATGATAGATACCCTGGAAATAAGCTTGTGGAGGATGTAGAGAACACAAGAACTTATGGCCTTGTTTCTGTAAGGACTTCACACAGCTGAAACAAAAGAATATTTCACATACTCTTCCAAAACAGTCCTTTAAAGATTCTTAGGCATTTCTCCCTCCTTTCTCACTTTATGAGCAGCCAAGGAGACCATTCCTGAGACAGAAAGCAATCTTTTCTGGATTAACTTATTTCACAGAACTTTCTGAAGAGCTATTTCTCTGGTTTTTTTTTTGTACAATCACTTCATAAGATGGTCACCCTTCAATTTATGTATTTATACAGCAACATGGGTAAAGAACTCCTGACACAGAATTTAGTAAGAACTATGAAAATAGTGCTGGATTTGGAATTTGTTATTGTACCTGAAGCCATTACAACCAGACAGTCATTGCTAACTGGTGGAACTCTGGAGTCCAGCGGTGGAGCATTGATGCACACAAATTGCACAAGGAAACTCACAGCCTGTTAACACTTCACAAGGCTCTGTCTGCATGCGTGGAGATGCATCCGGGGAGGGTCAGGTTGGGTATTAGCAAAAGGTTCTTCATCAGAGGGTGATCAGGCACTGGAACAGGCTCCCCGAGGCTGCGGTCACAGCCCCAAGCTGCCACAGTTCAAGGAGTGTTTGGACGACACAGGGTTTGTATTATGGGTGGTCCTGTGCAAAGCCAGGAGCTGGACTCAGCGACCATTGTGAGACCCTTCCAGCTTGGGATATTTTGTGATTTTATCTTTTTCCTCAATTGGAAATAGCAATAACATGGAAAAACCCATGGGGTGGGAAAAATGTGAGAGCACGCTTGCTGTGCAAAGATCAAAGGCCATTCATTATTACTGCTTGAAGTGTGAGGGGGAAGTAGAACCCAGTGTGCTGTGGAGGATAGGAGGGAATTTGTGGTCTTCGCTGGAAAAGGAAATAATTGGTCAGCACTCCATCAGTAATGCTGCCAGAGGAAGTGGGGGTAACAATCAGAGTTTAGAAAATGACAATGAACTTCCTTTCCTAGGTTTGGCTCACAACAAGTCTGACAGTCATGATTGTAAGCAAATGGAAAAAAGACGACACCTAGCAAGCCACTTCATTTCACAGCTCCCTGAGCAACGTGCTGATCTTCATCACAAACCAAAAGTGTTCCCCCAGATTACACACGATCTACAGGCAGTCACTTCTTGACAGGTACAGCTTGGTGACAAATACCTCTCACTCAATGCAGTGGTGGCTTGGTAGGCCTGCCAGTAAGGCAGCAGCTTGACTTCTACACACAAAGATAAGAACATATTCATTATAAATAATGATTACCAGATCTCCTGCTTAAATAACAAGCAGTTTAAGAGCAAGAACGAATGGCATTTTCTATGAAAAGGCAGAAATAACTTATTTTGAAGAAATATCTGCTTTGTGATTAACAACTAATAGGTTTAGCTTAGAAACAAAACAGTCTGCATATGCTTTAATTGGAGGCATGTGAGTCATTTAACGAACTGCTAGCACCCAAAGCTTTCACTGCTGCTCCTTCTCAACTCATAATTCAGTGATCTGATAAAGAAGCTTCTGAAATTCAGTGAGCCCCACTAGTGTTGCTTTGGCATAAGACAAAGGAGGAGAGTAGCATGAAGTTTAATTAGCTATTGCATCTGAACTCAGTTTTCCTAAAATTTCTCATCAACTACTTTGCAGGCAGCAATATTTGTAACTATTATTTGTAGTTACTAAAGCAGATAAGCTTCTTCACTATCGTGACTCTCACTGCTTGAAGGCACTTCAGGCTGCCGAGGTTCGTTGGGAAGCAAACACTGTGATCAAATCCATATGGTGTAACCATGCCCTTCCCATTACAGGATCTAAAACTTCAGTGCTTAAAAGCTTCCCCCTCCCCCCCTTATTCTTTTGATAAAAATCTTTCTAGCTGCAGGTAGTTTCTTCAGCATGGGCAACTATAACTGTTGTCTAAGTCACAAGAAGCATCTCAACAACTTCCTGTCCTACAACCATCCATCCACCTTGTATCACTTAATCCTCAGTGCTCACTCAGGCTCTACAGAAGGCAAGACAGGATGAAATAGAAGCATTTTTTCCAAATAAACCAAATAAATGATAAATAAATAAATGATAAATGATCACTTAACAGGAAAAAAATAGCACTTAGCATAAAAATCACTTTCCATTCCCCTTTTAGTTCTGTACAAACTTCTCAATGACATTCATCAATATTGCACTGTAGACACTACAAACTCCAGATCAGTGTTGGACTGTGGATACAATGACAGTCCAAATCAACAGCTCAATCCACGCATCCTAATTCAGCAACTCAGAATGGTCTGGCCCTTCAAGTTCCCAGCTCTGCTTTCACAAGTGCTTACTGAATCTCAAAGATGGATGCTGATGGGGAATGAGGGAAAATAGTCACTGTTATTGAAACATCTGAAATACCACAGTGATGATCTACAGTCTCCAAGACAAGGAATACTTGCCACCCTTGTTCAGCATTCATTGTAATTGCCAATAGTAATTCCAGAAATTGAGTTCAAAGGGGAAAAAGAGGATATAAAAAGGAAGAACTCCTAGTTATTATTTATAGATTCAAACCTTTGAGCAGAACAAATACTCTGTTAATTAACAGAAGAGAAACCATTTTCCAAGCCTGAGTTTTGAGAAAGGAGTTTCTCTACCTTAACGAGACGCTCTGTTCTGAACAAGCTTACTGCAGTTCCTCACTAAACAATGGTAAATTCTACCAATGACCACCTACATAGCTCTGCAACAGGAAGATTAGGAAACAAGATCACTACAAAAGATCTGAAAGACTGGAAGAAGAGACCCATTTTGATTATCTTTGAAATGACTGGTAAATAAAGATTTCTGACACTCAGTACTGACTCATGTACTTTCAGGGCTTGTAGGCATCATTCTCCCATTCAAAGGCTTACAGATTCCTTATCTTTTCATTCTTCCAGCAATTCCCAAGTTAAAGAAGAACATAAAAACTACTGCTGCAAAGCAAACAAACATCAGAAAGCACAGAGAAAGCAAATAAGGAATTCCATGATGTAGTGGCTTTTATTACTACGGAAGTCTAATTTGATGCTTACAAGCACACATGGATTTATGCATCACAACCACTTGAAATAGTTCATGTTGGAACATGTGAAGTAAAGGCCAGAAATTGAAGCCACCTGCTTATGCACAGGAAACTGGATACCTACAGTAACGCTGACAGGTTTAGTTTCATTTTTGCTTTCTTCCATGCTCTTGGCTGACATGAATGACATTAAGTAATGCAGTTGGGTAAGATCTGACTTATTTTTTCCTTTCTCCAGAAGTAGGAAATGAGGCAAGAGACCAAGGGAGCAAGGTGACTTCATGGCAAGGTTATGAGAGAACTGAGCATCTCTGAGCCTCCTTTGCAGTACACATGGGGGAGTCACTTTTCATGTGTGAACAACTTCAATACTCTGCATTTTTTTTTTTTTTTGAATAATGAACCTGCACATCCTTTTCTCAGAAATGCTGATGAAATTAATGTTAAAAAGCTGAGCTGCAAACAGTTTCGTGCTCTCTAGAGAATAACCCGCTCTTCTGCCATCATAAGTAGGGAATGCAAAATTAGGTTCATTTTTTACTGAGCTCCAACACCTTCCTCCTCCATCTAGAAGGGATGTTGTGAGGAAATACATTAGTATCAGCCAATGCTGAAACGACAGAGAAGCCCACAGAATAATGCCTTCAGAGAACATTGCTGCTGGCATGCTATTAATTTAGTGAGCTAAAAATTATGAGCTATGGATAAAGAAAATAGAACTAGGGATAAACGTATGGAAAGCTGAACAAGAAAGTATTGTCTATTTTGCATGCTAAAAACAACTGCACGAGGAAAATAAAATGCATTTTACAGTAACATAGAAGACCGTCTGATTTTATGCACAAAGGCACGCAAAGTGATTTGGGAAATTAACCAACTCCATATGTGGGTCACACAATTAAGACTCCTACTAAAGCACCTTGACATTTGAGCTAAGGGAGAGATCCATAAGTAAGAAGTCTGGCTTAGGTCAAGAATCAAAAATATAGTAATATCTAACTTTTTATCAATGAGGTTTAATACTCAGAGGCATAGGTAGGACAGTGATGACTGTACTCCATATCAGAGGGAAGTACCAATCAGCATGCTCTCTGCCTTCTCTTCCCCTTTCAAGCATCCACTGTTACAAGTTCAGCGTATTCTTGCCTCTATTTTTTTCTCCTCCCACCCCTCCATACAGCAGTTTCTTCCCTCAACTCTTTGTTCCAGACTATTTCCTCATTACATTCTCCAGCCCAACAAGGAAGCAGATTGCAAGGGGAGAACTGAAAGCACAAATTGCCACATCTGTGCCAAGTAACCATGCTGCCAGTAGCTACTTGTAGTTACCTAAACACTCACACGGAGAGTACCTAAAAGGGAGCCTACAAACCTGGGCCTGGAGCATCTCTCCTATGAAGAAAGGCTGAGTGAACTGGGTCTGTTCAGCCTCGAGAAAAGAAGACTGAGAGGGGACCTGATCCAGGTCTATAAATATCTAAGGTGTGGGGGGCAGAATGGCGAGGCCAGACTGTTTTCAGTGGTGAGTGGAGACAGGACAAGGGGAAACGGCCAGAAACTGCAGCATAGGAAGTTCTGCACAAATGTGTGTGAGAACTTCTTTACAGTGAGGTGACGGAGCACTGGAACAGGCTGCCCAGGGAGGTGGTGGAGTCTCCTTCTCTGGAGATGTTTAAGACCTGCCTGGATGCCGACCTGTGCGACCTGCTGTAGGGAACCTGCTTTGGCAGGGGGGTTGGACTTGATCTCTGGAGGTCCCTTCCAACCCCTACAATTCTGTAATTCTGTGAAACAGGAGGAGAATCAACTCTTTGAAAGGGTAGATAACAGCGGGACAAGGCAAAATGGTTTTAAGTTGAGGGAGGGAGGATTTAGGTTGGATGCGGGGGGAAAGTTCTTTACTACGAGAGTGGTGAGGTGCTGGAACAGGCTGCCCAGAGAGGTTGAGGATGCCCCATCCCTGGAGGTGTTCAAGGCCAGACTGGATGGGGCCCTGGGCAGTCTGGTCTAGTATTAAATGGGAAGGTTGGTGGCCCTGCACATGGCAGGAGGGTTGAAGATTCACGATCCTTGAGGTCCCTTCCAACCCTGGCCGTTCTGTGATTCTGTGAGAAGACAAGGTTTACAACCCTGGGCTGAAGAGGGGACCTGGTAGCTGTAGCCAAATCCTTCAAATAAATTACTATTTTTATCTAACATGTACTCCGTCAAGTGACTTCTTAAGGATGATTTCCATAGGTTTGCCTTTACCTTATTGATTTGACAATGCAGCCTTTGCAGAAACGGTGCCCACACGGCGTCTGCACTGCTTCCCGAAGGGCCATCAAGCAGATCGGACACTCATATTTGCTTTCCAAGGGCGGATCGAACTCCACGTCGTATCCCTGCGTCTCCTCCGTGAAGGAGCTGGGCGGGTTGCCGGTCCCACTGCCAACGCTCACGCTGTCTTCTTTCGCTCCCCCGCTGCAGGCGCTGGCCATGGCCGCACAGCAGCCACCATCCATGTCTCGGGCCCCACAGCTGCTGTCACTGTGTAGCAAGCTCATAGCAGCTGGTCGAGTGCCACACAGAACGCCCTGCAAGGTGACAAAAAGATGTGTTAATTTAAAATACTCCAAGATCTCCCCTTCCAGTCATGAGAAGATTTGAGCTGTGGCCACAAGCACTGGAGCGGTGCTACAGACTTGGTTCTCCACACAACCACTTTTATCCCAGTTTCTCCACGATGTATCTTTTTATACTTATCTTGTAATGCATAAGAAAGAACACAGCATCCTGTCACTTCAAAAACTGACACATACACACCTCCCTGCAATCTCGTTCATCTGCCTACTTGATTTCTGTAAACATTGTCTCTCCTTGCTGCACCTACTGAGAAAAGCCTCTATCCCCATGGCCCTATTTTCTTTTAAAGCATTCAAAGAATTTCCACAAAAAGCACTGTAATGGAATGTGGCAATATCTCAGCTCCGTATTTTCTTTGCACTGACAGATGTTATTTAATATTTTCTGTATACAGATTTACAGTATAGGTTTCAACTCAGTTTAGGTACATACCCACAGATAAGGTAGGTCTGGGCAGCCACACCAAGCAGAGGATGTGCTGGAAACGAAATGCAAATGCACGGCATCGCTGATAGCACTTCAGAACTGTCAGCAGGACTTGAAATTGAGTAAGAAGCTGCACAGAAGATAAGGCTAATAGTTCTGCAGCTCAGAATGTTATTTACCAGCTAGCAGTGCTCAAACAGGTTTCATGCTCTCCCATCCCTCTTCCGGTACAGGTGGGAGGGAGGACAAGTGACAACGCTGTAAGAACATCAGATAAAAATCACATTTCCCTGAGGAGGAGTGCATGGCATAGCGAGGCCTGTTTTTTAAACAACATTCCCCTCCTGCGTTCAGTGCAAGACTATCACTTCATCTGCAGCATATTCAGGATGGCAACGTAAGGATGAGCCCAGAGCTGGGCTGCAAGGACTGGTGGCATGCATCACTGCTACTGCATCCAGGGGCGGTGAGGATGCAGAGTGAGGGTTAACCCAACCACGAGCTCAGGGCACGGAACTTCTTGCCTTTAGCAGAATTGGAGCATCACAAGCCATTTAAACAGTGTTCACAGATAAGGGGAGGATGACACATAGATTGTTTTGTTTGGGCGCTTACTACGCAACACCTGAAGACTCCAACAAAAATGCTGATCAGCACACACATGCTGATGCTGTTTCTAGCCTCAGCTAGAAACCTGTGAACACATACATTATTACAGACATGCTTTAGGCCACCTGTGTGATAGCCTCAACTATTTCAGTACTACCTGTGTTAACAGTATATGAGCTATTTTTCCTCCGCTTATTCAAATGGAAAGAAAATGAAGGTACATCTACCAAAAAAAAAAATGAAGAAAGCCAGCAGTCCAACAGGCAAAACTACCATATACAGGTTAGAGTTCAAATCAAAATGTGACTTCTTTTGTTGTGCAATACTTTCCATTTCATTGAAGCACGCAGAGGTGCAAGCAGCATCTAAAAGCAGTGTTCCAGAACTGCATTATGGTACAGAGTCTCAAAGCAGCACCCGGGACAGGACTGAAGCAGCCAGACTGCTTACTTCACGCAGAAGCCATCCCACAGCACAGCTGCCTGGAGCTGCATCCAAGGGGTAAAGTTCACTCCTCTACTCCTTTTCTCTGTCCTCATGTGTTATCCTTACATATTATCTAACAGAGCAGACTTCATAACAGCACTCCTAAATACAGCAGAAATACAAGCTAAACACCAAATGACTTTTGGGCAGTTGATTGAAATACAGTCCAGCAATTAGTAGTTTAGCCCCACAGAATGGAAACAGAAGAATCACTGCTTTGAAAGATGGTCTGTCAAAAGCTTTTTCAGACTGTTGTCTGTAGTTCTCTTTTCCCTGGAGGAAGAAATGCTGCTGCTGCTGACAAACCAACAATTTGCATTTGACTGCTGTGGCAGAGAATGATGAGTCCACGTTTCATGAAAAATGGCACAGGAATTAAGCTGGGCCAAAGGAGTGTGAAGGTGGGTATGCAAGATTAGAATCCACTGGCCAGTATGGGAGTGGAAAAACTTACATAATTCCATACCACAGGGGGATATTTAGCGAGATAAAGGGAAAAGGAACACACGTGCCTTCAACAACATCACAAAGGAATTCAGGAAGTCCTGAGGAGGAAAATGTCACAGCTTCATCCAAATTCAGTTGTCATGTTAATTGCAGAGTGAGCTGCTCTTCCCTTCAGAGGCTTCCAGAAGGAAACACACCGTTTGAAATACTGTTCTTATAAGAAAGATAACATCACCTTACTCAGAATCTCAACAGCTGTAGATTTAAGTGCTGTGCAAGTGGTGTTTTTCGCTTGTCTGTTTCTACAGTCAGAGCAGGTATGTACATTGAGTCTATGGAAACAGAAATCCTACACCAGAGTCATTCTAGTGCATGAGTCAGTGCAACCAGCCAACATCCCAGCCTCACAAAAATCCCCCTGTTCAGTGATACACTGCACTCCCACATGGAGATTTCTGTCTGTATATGACCAAAGGGTGAGCAAAGAAGCGTGAGTCTCATCATCGGCTTGTGTCCAAATTTCCCTATCTGTAAAGAGGAGGAAATTTAAATAGGGTGATTAAGAGTCGGATCTTGAGTTTTGCTCATGTTTTTTGTGAAATGTGTAATAGGATTCCTCCTTCTACTCCGCTCATTTCACTTCACCTGGGAGGAAATTTTGCCCTCTCCATGCATTTACAGGCATGGCACACAGGTTTCCTAATCAAAGCCCACTCAGCCCTCTCTCAGATCAGCAGTCAAAGCCTAACTGCCTCTTCACAGCTGAAAATAATTCTTGCTCAGCCCTTAAGTGCTGTAATATGAATGTCCTGTTACTCGTTGCACATTTTGTCCCGCAGAAGTTTCAAGCAAATGTAACTATATACAAAATATGTTTTTCCTCATCTACACCAAAACCGTTTAAATCCATCCAGCTTTTTGACATCAGTAGCATAACACATTAAGTACTCTGGTAATCAACCAGCTAATCAACCTAACAGCCTTCACTTTGAAGTTAAACCAGAACATCAGAGGGCAATTCCAATCCTGATTAGCATGAAGTTTCTCAGGCAGAGAAAACCCAAGCGCTAGGTTTGTCAGTGCAGCTGAAACACCATTCCCCAGTGCTGGGAAGTCCCATCACACTCACTGAGCAGACAGACAGGAGGTTTTAGCTTGCACACAAGGCACCACAAGTCCCTGGGCCACCAGAGGTATTCTTTTTCCTCTATTGCAACAACGTTGTATTGTTTGACAAAAGACAAGAAGGTGCTTTCCAGGCTAACCAGTAATGCTGTGCTGTCCAATCGTTACTTATGCTGCTGGACTCCAGAACGATCCATCTGTAATGATCCAACTCTCAGACCCAAGGCAAACCAGACACAGGCAGGGCGATGGAATCCCTACACTGCTTTTCCAACTAAATCATAACGAAACCGCTCTTCAGTGGGCAACCTGTGCCACGTTGCTATTTACACTGTTGTGTTACAAAGCAATAAGGTTAATCTGTGATAACACAGTCAAGTCAGAGTGGCAAAATCCTGCAAGCATAGTGCACGTTATGATTCACATAAACAATTTCAAAACAGAACTAGAAGCCTTTCATGCCTTAAATTATTGTGTGCAATAAAGCTCAGCAGTCTGACTTGTGAAGTCCCACAGTACCATGGAGTTCAGCCAGAACTTTTACAGATTTTCTGCTCCAGCAAAGAGCCACAGGATTAATTCAGGTTTCCTAAATCAAAGGCTAAATGGCACATGAGATATCTTCCAACTGCCTGCAAAATTACACTCTCTGAGGTAACGAGAGGGAATAAGACTAGGCATTGTACCCTACTTGTCTAAAAAGTGAGATGATACCTATGCATTTGGCAAGCGCAGAGGACCTGCTACATAGGAACTTACAAGTTATGATGCAGAAAATGTTGAGTATTAATTAGTAAATATTGAAAATGATTAATTTTTGCATGACCTCTCCAAGAGGATTCCTACCAAGCAGCCAGAGAAATCAGTGCAGAGGGCTATTCAGATCCCTTTCCTCACTTGAAGTTGTAAACCTAATGAAACTGCTTTCAGCCCAGCTGGGACAAAGCCAGCAGAGGGCAATGCCTTTAGTGCCATGCAAACAAACCACAGGCAAAACTTTGCTTTTTTCTTCACCTGGCCCGTTAAGAACAGTTCTGTACATACAGATGTATGAGTCAAACAGATTTCTGGGATAGACCTGCGGAGCGACTTTAGCTGATTTGTTTATGAAGCCATACTTGCAGTTCCCAGGCAGATTAATCAATGGTCTGACAACTGATAAGCACTATGCTTAGCAGCATTTGCATTGTTAGGTGTACAACTATCAACACCATGGCTCCAGCCTGGCAAAACATATACAGTTACGCAAACTTATTTTAATTAATAGCTATAAAACACTTTCATTCCAAAGCTATCAAAAAGCAAGTCAAGAAAAAGCAACAGGAGATTCACGCAGAACTCATAACTGTGAAAAACAACTTCTGGTTCCTTCTAAAAACCTGCAAGGGTTCTGCTGAGATGCTGCCATAGCAGGGTCAAAGAAAACACTAGGACAGAAAGCACTTCAAGAAGAGGCAGGAAAAATATGGTTAAGAACAAGCATCATTTCTGCAGTGCCTCCAAACTGTATTTTATTATCATCTACATCTGTTGATGCTTGTTAACAGTCTGCTTGCAGCTAGCATTTGTAAAATCATTTGAGACACCAGGAAAATAAGCAGTGAACTGAGCACACATTCTGAAACAGCTCAGGCATTTCCCCTTTCCACTCTGCCTCACGTTCACTTTTCTTTTTGATGTGCCTTATACTCAGAATCTTGCACCCCTAGTTCTCCACAGACCAGACTTAAAAACATTTTATGCTTGCTTAGCTAATGTGTGCTGCAGAGAAGCAAAAGTTACACTTGTTGACATATTAAGGTCATGGAATATTTTCAATAAGAAGAAAAAGCTTGTTTATCTCAGCCATTTTTTTCACTCAGTATTCTGTATTCTAGTATTTACTGAGCATGCTTTCTTAAATATAGCATCAAACCTTTAGAACAGAAAGCAGCATTGCAATGCTAAAGCACTACAAACCTCAAACCACCACTTGCACACCCTGCCTGAGCTCTGCAGGTCTCCAGGTGCTTGGAAGAGCTGGAAGGCTATGCCCAGAGCAATACCTGCCAGGAAAGAAGTCACATGCTTGCTTTGATCAGCAGACTTCTGGGACTTCTTTTTTGATAGCAGCAGACTGTGGGGCTGTGTTTTTCTGGCCCCTTCGCCCTTAGGAAGGCAATGCCGTTCACCTGCAGGTGCTAACACAGCTGGTGGCTCATGGTTTCCCTGCCTACAGCAGTCCTCGGCCTGCAGAATTCATCAGAGGACAGAGCTACTTCCAGTGAGCCCTAACTGTTAGGTGTAAGGGGTATAATTAGATCACTGTCCTCTCACCTACAGAGAAAATTTCTGTCTCAGCCTGACAAGACCCACACTGACCGCTGTAAATCAGCTTACGCTGATGGAAGTACGACCACAATCGAAACTTCCTACTCGTTCTCCTAAATTCGCTGTAACCGTGCAGATCTGCCAGTCGCTAAGAGGGAGGCTCTTAGTTTCTGAAACAGCAAAGTTTCCCGCAGGGCAGTCTTACAGAGCCTTCCAGCTCCCTGTCACGCCGGGTCCCTTGGCTGAGCGTCCCCGTTTCACAGCCAGACAAACAGCTCCCGCTCCCGCCCCCCCCCCCCCCCCATGCCCATAGCAGCCACCACCCGCAACGCGGCCCTACTGCGTACCGGCCGGCCCAGCGGCCCGGGCCCAGCACCCTGCCGTCCCGGCACGGGGCTCACTTTCAGTTTCGGCGGAGCTCAGCCCGACGCGCCCCTGCCACGGAGCCTCCTTCCATCAGCACCGCGGCTCCCACTGGCGATGCCCGAGCGACGGAGCGCACTCTCGCCGAGGTCCGGCAAACCCACGCCGCCTCGCACCCCGTCCCGCCGGTCCCCGAACACCGCGCCCCCGCGCTACCGGCGTTCCACGGCGGGATGCGGCCGCGGCGCGCGGTTCGCCGCCCTCGTCGGTCCCGGTCCGCCGCGATTCTCCGCGCCGCCCTCGCGGCCGCCGACCCCCACTCACCGCCAGCCCCGCGGGCCGCTCCGCTCCTCGCCGGGCGCCGCTTCCGCCTTCTCCTCGGGACGAGCCGGGGCGGCGGCCGCCTGGGCCTGAAGCCGCTGCAGCGTCCCCTGCCGGCCCGGTGGATCCGCCCGCCTAAGGCCTGCAGCGCTGCCGCCTTCCGCTTCGGCCGCCTGCGGAGGGATAAAAATACGCAGTAGCGCGGCGCGATGTGAGACGTAGCAACGCTGATAGGAGAGCAGGTGCAGAAAGCATTGATTGATAGGGCGTGACGTGATTAGGGAAAGCCGTCCCACCTGGAAACAACGCGCTGCAGCCTGGAAGCATCTGAGCTTTTCGGTTAAATCCTCGCGGCACGCGCGCTGCACAAGCGAAGGGCTCGAGCCCTGTCCGGCGGCAGTAGCCTCTCGGCTACGTGGGGACGTGGCTGGGCTCGGTTAAGGACACAGTGCTACCTGAGGCAGTGGGGATGTTGGCTTTTCCCAGTAGCGTGTGACAGTGGGTGGCTCTAAGGAAGTGAAAAACTAGGACAGCGCGAATGTAAACGCAGCTTCGTTTCCCTAAACCCAGAGAAGGGGAATTTTGCTGTATGCATCTGTGCCTTCCTTGGCAAGCACCCAAGGCTTACGTGTGCTAACTCAGAGAGCACTTTGTTCTGGGGTCCCAGATCTGCAGTGAAGAACTAGGCCCTGGAACACTCCTGAGCTCCTACCCTTGCCAGCCAAAAGCGCCTGTCTAAGTGCCAGATGGTGCGAGCAGGAGGCTGCATCTGGAGAAAATCATGGGATCGTCTAGTCCAATGGTCTGCCACCAATATTGCCCACTGAACTATAGAATCGTAGATGTTGAAAGGGACCTTTAAACATCATATAGTCCAACTTGCCTGCAGTGAGCAGGGACGCCTACACGAGATCAGGTGCTCACAGCCCCATCCGTCCTGACCTTTGGTGTCTCCAAAGATAGGGCTTCCACAACCTCTCTGGGCAATCTGTGTCAGTACCACCCTTACTGTAAAAAATATTTCTCCTATCCAGTCTAAATCTCTCTTCTTTTTGTTTGAAAACACCTCCCCTTGGTCTGTCATAGCAGTCCCTGCTAAGGAGTCTGTCCTCTTCTTCCTTACAGTCTCTCTTTAGATACTGAAAACCCAATATCAGGTCTTCCTGGAGCCTTCTCTTCTTCAGGCTGAACAGCCCTAGCTCTCTCCACCTATCCTCACAGGTGAGATGTTCCATCCCTTGGATCATTTTTGAGGCCCTCCTCTGCTCATACTCCAACAGGTCTGCATCTCTGCTGTACTGAGGACTCCATGCCAGGGTGCAATACTCCAGGTGAAGCCTTGCCAGCACAGAGTAGAGGGGCAGAATCACCAACTTCGACTGCTGGCCACTCTTCCAAAAGAAGAGTGCAGCCCAGGATATGTTTGCTTTTCTGGGCTGCGAGGGCACGTTGCTGGCTCATGTCCAGCTTGCCATCTGCCAGTGCCTCAAAGACCTTTTCAGGAGGGCTGTGCTCCACTTTCACATCCTCCAGCGTGTTCTGATAGCAGGGTTTGCTATGACCCAGGTGCAAGACCTTGCACTTGGCTTTGTTGAACCACATGAGGTTCACCTGGGCCCACTGCTCGAGCCTGTCCCTAAGTGCCAATCTACACATTTTTTGAGCATTCCCAGAGATGGTGACTTCCTCACTTCCCTGGGCAGCCTGTTCCAATGACTCACCAGTCTTTCTGAGAAAAAAAATGTCCTAATATCCAACCTAGCTTGCTTCCTACCTCTGTGCAACTTGAGGCCATTCTCTCTCATCCTATTGCTGGGAGAAAAGGCCAATCCCCACCTTATTATAAACTTCTTCCAGGGAGTTGTAAGAAGCAGTAAGACCTATGGAAGCCCTGAATGCAGCCCTCTGAGTGCCAATTTTGGCCATGAGATTGTTACATTTTTTTGTCAGGTCTTCATCTGGGACTCTGACGTACCACAAGAAAGAAGTAGTTATACTAAGAGTAATTTAACCAACTCTGTGGGTGGACCCTTTGCTGGACAACTAGCTGAATTTCAGAGGCATCCTTATTCCCAGTGAAGTTGAAAAACTAGATGTTATTTTCATTATCTGTAAAATGAGGAAATGTATAATAGATTTATAAAATAGATATCCCTCAATGGAGTTTTCTGTGACAAAATCCCACAATTTTTAGTCATATATCAGGTAGTCAGAGCATTGATGTCCAGTGCATTTTGATTAGAAAGGAACACAAGAAACATAGGAGCTTTTATCTCAAATGTGCATGAAATGTCTTTAGTCAGTGCAGTTCCCAAATATTTATGGTTTTTAGCAGACTTGGCCAATAGTCACGTACCCATGACCATAATGCAACATAAAATGGTGTATAAACGCTTTTTCTCCACGTGGTGGTGACAGTTGCACAGGGAAAATATTTTCCAGCACTGACTGCACAGCTCAAACCGCCGAGCAATTATGTTCATACACACATAAACCACATTCAAAGCTGTTTCAACTGGAGATCAATTAAAACCGTATTTACCTGAGTATCCCTTCCAGAAAACATTTTTTCAAGGTGATTTTTCCTGAGTATGCTGCAAGTAAAGTGCGGGACTGCTTACATATGCTCACCTGGCTGAGCTGATGATCAGATTGCTCTCATCCAGCGCTGTTCACACAAGACTTCAGTCTCACAGGGAATGGGGCTGGTAGGCAGCTGCTTGGGCAAGGTTTTGAATGAGCCCTCCAGCAGAGGGACAGATTTGCTAGACTGCTTCTCTGAGAGCCCCTGATCCCTCAGTGCATATTGTCAGCGAGCTGCATCTGCTGTTTCAAGATAAGGGAGGAAACCAGTATGAGCCTGCAGAGAGTTACTTTGATATCTGGTGTTGCAGCCTGACCTGATACCTTTTTGAAAAGGTCTCTCCAAATGCTAGCGAGGGGACAGTGAAGGCAGGCAGGTTGTGGGGAAATCCTGGCAAGATAGGGAGAGCAGAAATGCTGTGCTTAGGGCTGGGCCATGACACTTTCTCGCTGGTGAGCAAACACCAGAGTCAGGACAACCTTACTCTAACCTGCCTTGCCTGGGAGTGACTACTGTGATTTCTGTTCCACCTTGTCCTGACACTCAGGTGCACTTGTTTCTACAGCAACTCTGAGATTTTGGTCAGAATCTGACCAAGGGTATCAGAGTTTGCAACCAAACTTTGTTTTCTTTGTCATTATGTTACTTGATTTGGCACAAATAATTGCACTTAGTTACTGAGGAGATATTGGCATCTCCTGGGACATACAGTGTGAAATGTGTGACTGACCCAGGTCTAGCTTCACTTCTCTATGACTTGTCATCTTGCAAGAACAGGAAGGAACTGTTCTACAAGATCAAAGCTGATAATAGGAGGGAATCCTCTCATCATTTTTACCTATAGCAAGTGTTGCTACTGCAAACTCCTACTTCTGGAGTGTGAGCATATGTTCACTTTGGGAGAGCTTGGTGGGTCATTACATTTTGTTGCATAATGTTTTTTGAGGAGACCAAAATCCTTCAAGGTGCTCTTGTGTAACAGAATTTGTTTTCTTTTCACTTGGAGTGAGTTTCTGAGACATACGTGCTTTGTCAAAACTGAGCGTGAGCACTGAATTTTACTGCCCACCATCTGTGGACACTTGCCTATGCCTGATGTACTATCAACCAGTTACTCAGAATACAGAACTAGTTTTTATATTGTTGATTTGTTCTCTTGTTGAGTACCTTTAGGATACCATCAGGAAGGTAAAATCTCTGAAAGTGAGATAGTGGGATCAGAAGAAAAGACATTGTGTGGTCCCAGACCGCAGAGGACTGGCTGCTGTTAACAGAGGAAGCAGGCCTCTGGCCTTCAGTGAAACAGCTTTGGTGTGCGACTGTAGTGTGACCAGACACCAGGTTCTTCTCTCTGATAGCTGACAGTGAAGAAACTAGCTCTGAAGCTAGAAAGAAGAAAGCCAAATGCAGAGCTTTGTCCTAACACTGCAGGTGCTCCTCAGAAAGGCTGCATGCTTATCTCTGAGCCCTAGAGTCTCGCACAAGAAGACCTTGTTTTTATGAATTTTGTGGTTAAGCCTCATAAATTGCCAGGTGCCACCTGGATTTGAAAGTTCTGCATTGTGTTTAGTTGAAGTAACCTGTGGTTAGCACCAAAGTGGTACTGGGAGCTCAGAGGCACAAGGATAAGTGAGATAAACAGCATTGCAGTGTCTTTAAAAAGCAGAGGGGACAAAGAAAGAGCAAGAGCACACGGGAGAGCAAGCAAGCTTGACATGTGGAGCAAACTGAGCAGACATAACAGCAGCTCTGCATACTGACAGGGAGCTAAAGGTAGGCTGGCTGCACTAATGGCAGCAACTCAAATGCTTGTAGGACAACTGAATGTTGATTCATTTTCCTGTTTTAATGCACAAGTCAATTTTTTTCTATACATGCAGTGAGACTGTTCATAAAGCAAGGTCTTCCTTGACATGACTAACAGTACCACAGTTGTGCTTTTCTTCAGAAGTGTATGAAATATTGTGAGCTGGGAAGAAAAGGGATTTCTTTTCCCTTTTCAAGGTAAAAAGAGGTGATACTGAATACAGCTGTCAGAGTTGATTAAATAACCGTGGCTGGGGTTCACGGCTGGGGTTCACTCTGTAAGAATCTGAGTGGGATAAACAGTGAGGAGGATTGTTCACTATGACCCACAACTAGAATAACAGACCAAAGGCAAATCTAGCATGAAATGTTCCTGGCACTGGGGATATTTCTAAGTCTCCCAGCAGAGCCGCTTCAAACTCCACTGCCTGGCATCCAGGCCATTTAAAGTGTCTGATGAGTAGCCTGTTGGCTGCTACTATCTCCTGAAGGTGGCTAAGGTCAGGTGACCTAAGAGGGCTCTTTATCATTCATTTCTTCAAGGGAATGTTCAGTGTAAGAGAGAGAGGAAAAAACAAAAAGATCATTGCACTTTTCTTTAATGAGGGTAAAGCTTCATTTGAGTTGGTAATTAATAGGAATGGCCACAGGTTTGGGGATTAGTAAGGCACTAAGG